TTCATTGAACGCCATGGCCTTGGTTTTCTTGGCATACGTTCCTATAGTCCAGCCTTTAGTGCAGCAGCTTCTATTGCAATGCTGCATTCCTGAAGGTATCAGGCCCCTTCATAAACATACCTTGTTTATATATTTTTTTTCCTGAGTCGCATCACGTGGAATATATTCAACAGACGGCTAGGATATTATATAATATTATACATTATAGCTTGAGCATATTTTTATCATAATCAAATGAAATCGATCTGGCTAAAGCATTTACGCCCATTTTTTTTCTGAAGAAAGAAAAACACCCAGACGTTAGAGATATCATAAGCCTATTCTGCAGACGACCGCGCTTTTGAAGTCATAATTCTTTCGGATTGAATGTATAATTTAACACGTTATTTCAACTCTGTATAAAATTAAACAAACAAGGATGTCCTTTTGTTTAGAATGTGAAAGTCGCTGATCGAATAGAAAAACCGCATGTGAAAAGGATGCATACATTGTTGGGCTCACTTTCATTTTTCTGTGAAAAAAGTGTTTCTGAGGATGTCATTGTTTATACATGTATATTCAGTATATACATGTATATTCAGGCCTACACAGGAGAAATTATTGCCATAAAAATATTATGTTCATGATATATCCGTTCTTCTTGTCCTTATAACCTCAGCCTCCGATCTGAACTCAAAACAGGTCCACTTTTAAAAATGGAGATATCGTACTTATACGGGCATATTTTGTGGTGTGAATATAAAATCAATTCTATATATTACTCATCACATTTTAAAAATGATTCCTATTGCAAAATAAATGGTTTTGCTTTCGGTTTTCATCACGTAAAACTACAAAAAGGTATGAAATACATCCCACTTAATATCGGGTCAAGGCTCACCAACTTTTGCTAATAATAATTTCTCAAAAATATTTAGGCAATTGGTATTTCGATCAACACTGGGCACGAAGTAAGCCTTTTAAAGGCTTTTTTTTTAAGGAAAAATGATTCATCCATCCTCTGACGAGAAAATGTCTTCATTCACGTTTCAGTTTCGTAATTTCCTTTCTGGCTTTAGATCAAGTAATTTTGTTACACTCAATATCTCAGTTAAATCACATTCATGCCAAGCTGGACATTCCAGATACTGCACTATGCATGTAATGCACATGTACGCGTATACCAAGCGCCACTTGGTTTCACCTATTTTTAGATACCACCTCCGGATCCTTATTCTGAATAATATTAAAGGTACATCTAGATTTCGTTTTAAAGCTTTCTCGATTTAAGACACTATACAGTGTGTATCCAAAAAATAATATATATATAACGTAAAATGTGTAACCAACATAGATAATATAGGTATGGTTTGAAAGATACGCCTTTCCACATCAAACGTCCAAATCTGATAATTTTTGACAGAGTTATTAGTAATTTTCCAAGAGAGGTCAGAATGACCATGGGACCAAGCTTTCAGTTTTAGGCATTGGGACAAAGGCCTGATTTCCTCTGTGTGGATGTATGCTCTATCACCTCATGCTAGAAATGTTAAGCATGTAAACATGTTTACAAACTGATAGCAAGAAAGTGTTTAGAATTGTGTTTACTCGCTAAACACATTTTTTTTGCAGGCCAGGCAATTATCCACACAGAGGCAATTAGGCTACCTTCATTTCCCAATGCCTATTTTGAAAACTTGGTCCCATGGTCAATTTGACCTCTCTTGGAAAATTACTCACAACTCTGTCAAAAATTATAAGATTTGGACGTTTGATGTCTCCTTTTAAAGTGGAAACGCGTATCTTTCAAACCATACTTATGTTATCTGTGTTCATTACACATTCTACGGTCTGGCATTCCGTTATTTTTTTTGTTGCATTTTTTTGATGCACACTGTACAGTATGAATCCAACATGCGATTCAGGGATGCCACTTGTCGTGTATCATGCTGCCGACAATTGTTTGAATATAGTTCATTCCATTGAGGATAGGCCTACTGACGTTTTAAATTGAGCTTGACTATTGAAAGTTAGGAGCCCAAGTAGGCGATAAAATATGTTACATGTACTATATACTAAAACAAGAAAGTCCATGATCATTCTACATAATTACATGTAAAACGTCGTAATTTGTGTAGCAAATGGTGTTACACACTAATTGGATGTACCTTTGTGTCGTAATACATTTCACTGTGAAACGGTGTCGGCATCTTATCACAGGCTGATTAAAATAGTAACTTGAAACCTCATCAGTCACAAATACTTGCCTATTACCATAAAGCTCTCACACTCTCACACTTTCTAATCCATCGGAAGTCATAAAGTAATACAGTGACACGTATTATGTCATGATTAAACGATCTTCATGATAACGGAGTGTCACAACAACAAAGATTTGTGACGTTTCTCAACGGCTTACAATTATAATTGCCAAACTTCATCTGAGAATCCAAATAGACGGAACATGACGTAATAGCGCAAACGTTTTCCACGTCAACTTACCGTAGTCCCATCAACTTTCCAAACTGTTTTCATATCTCAAACTCAGAAACAGCAGATTGTCCAAAACATAATATTTTTAAGGCACATTTTTTTTTTAAATTTTCAAATTAAAACTGAAGGTTGGCTTACCTGTCTGTCCTCACTTTCTATCTGCTTATCTGTCGACATCCTTGTCCTCAGAACTCTAACTCCAAGGTTGAAACCGTTCAGATAACTACTTTGTCCGTGTAAAAAAACCTTTCCCTTCCAGCAATTAAATGTGAAGGGTCCGAGCAGGTTCGTATTCACAACCGTCCTGAACTGGAAGCCTTTCTGCCCCGTGTGACAAAACAAAGTGAACCACTACAGAGCACCTTTGCGGCTGATTATCGCAATGAATTATCCATGACTTGATGCACTTGTAATGATGATCATTTTGGTATGGTCCTCTCGAATGGGCGGTCTCTGTTGTGTCCTAATTCGGCCGTACAGCGAAGCTAGAGCATCCAGCCCACGCATCCAAACACTAATGTCCTTACTACTGGCTTGTGGAATGTTTTTCCACAACCAGACACGCACCGCATACTACCCTGACCTTCCCTAGTCCCACGCCCGCCGTGGAATCTCTTCCGCTCGTCTGACAACCACAACCGGGTATTTCATTTTGACGTCAGCGAAACATTTCCCCCAATTAAAGATAAACAGACCGCGATTATTAATGGCGGTTTAATCCTCTCTGGATTAAACAAAAGTCAACCGTGCAGTAAGTATACCTTAGCTTTCAGAGTCGTGCGAGCAAAAGTCCGATAATAATGTTTCTGGGCCTTCAGGAAATCATTGGTCTTTAGGGGGAATTAGCCTTAATATCTTAAGTTGGCGCTGATGTAGTCTTGGTCCAAGTTGGATTTTGGATTCCCCCCCCCCCCCCGAGCTCTTGCAAGCTGAACTGGCTCGGGATTTCTCGGGATATTTTGTTCCCACAAGCAGTCATGTGGTTGCTAAGGCAAAGCTACTCCGACTACGTACTCATACGCTATTATAGAGCAGGGAAATCCATGCGCTCCCAAAAAACATGGTCGTTTGAACGTTGTGTTTCTCAGAAAATATACTCAGTATGATTGAAATGTTAAATTATAACGGAAGACGACATTCTAAACTTCATGTCAGTGAACAAATCGCGGTCATCGATGCCGAAACGTCATTTACCGGTTACTGGTATAGCTGACCTTCAAGTCTGGAAGAAATCGTTCGAAAACTTCCCCAAATGCATGTATTGACCTCAATTTCTAGGAATCTCCAAGTTGTTATTTCACGAGTAGTTCAACACTTAAATCATCTAAGAATATTTCGAATTTCAGCTTAAGGCTGTTGTTGCAAACGCTAGTGTACCAACTAGAACCATCTCCATGGAAAATTTCGACGAGGATTTTCCGCCGACACAACCGACGTGCATTGTTCAGGCGCTATGGTTGACCGAGTATGGTAGATTAGTATATTCATTAGCGTCAGGCTCGGCGTGTTTTGGCGTGGGTCTCGGTGTCGACCAATGGAAGCCGGCAAAAAAGGGTGATATTTATCAATTAATAACTCGTGAAGGAGGCTTTTCTCCAAATTTATACTGCATACCATGATAGGAACCTTATTAATATATATATATATTTTTACATTTGACATTTAAAGGAATACATTGTAAATGGCGCGCTCCAGTTCAGAAATTGCGCACTTTATTCGGAACACGCTCTTAATTCGAAAGATGAAATTGGTTAATTGAATACTTGGCCAAAAAAAAAAATATTCGGTCTCTGGTCAGACCAAAGTTCCGAAATTGACGCGGCCACGCGGCTTTTTTTTTTCTTCTTCAAGCTTGGATTGTACGGACAAGGTGGGGTACTATTTTGCTTTTTTTGTGTCCTCATGTACATTGGTGTCCTCCATAATTTGCCTTGGTGCTTTCGATCATTTGCCTTGGTGCAATTTCCCATTCCTTGGTGCTCTTTGGTAAAAAAAAATTGAGGTGCGGAAATAGAGGGCGCTGTTGGAGTTACCGCGGAACATTTTGGAAAAAAAAAAGATCGACGCGCATGATTAAAATCGACGCGCGCGCTGACCAGAGACCGACTTATTTTTTTTTTGGCCTAATGCTAGAAAATTATCAATTCAATTTGAAAAACTATTTTTTTAAAGGTGCCACACCCAAAAAGGACGTATAAACACCGACTTTAAAAAGAAGTGTTTTTTTTAAATTGAATTTTATTTATAAATATTTTCCATATTCAACAGTTGTATGGAACAACCGCTCACAATTCAGTGTAAAATGGCACCTGTCAATATCTTTCCTACAGAGTCCTCACATCCGATGGCATTGGGTTTCAACAATACCATATTTTTAGGTTAAGGTTGCAGCACAGCCCACGTCTAGAACGGATGCTTAAACAATCGGCTTTCCGGTTGATTTTGGAAAACAGCAACGGGAAATATTGGGTGGCCGCGTTTGCCATCTTCTCACAACCTGTCAATAATAACCACACACCAGACTTGCATACGTTTTGATTTCAGTGGCTTGGTTTAATGGGCGTGATTCACATAAGTAAATGTGCAGCAAAAACTGATTGACAAAAAAACAACAGGTCAACAATAATATAATCCAGATCATAACCTAGAATAAAACATACACTTTGTATACTTTACTACAAACGAACCACAACTAAGGAAACGAACTCTTCACATGCTCTTCTGTCTTTTTTTTTGGCCAGCGGCTTTTGTTCAATGAAACAGTTGGTCAAAAGAAAATATTCCAAAATATATCACAATCACAATTGCCCTACAACTGAGTTTTAATACAATCAAATTTTAAATTTTAGGCGGGTCATCATCATGGGGCTTCATTAAGGGCCAACCCAAAAGTTCATGATTTGGGGGTCACCCTCTTGGAAATTGTTTGAACATTACCCCCTGAACGTCAACAATGGAAAAGTCACTTCTGTAAAAGCTTGCTATATATAGGATCATTTGCATGTATCCCAAAAGTAACCTACCAAATTATTATCAAAAACATTACTTGGATTAAAGATCGTACTGGTACTAAGCACCCCGTGAAATTGTTCCATCTGGCTTGCTGTCGTTTAGAAGAAATCAAGAAATTTTGGTGATTTCCAACAGAGTCAATTGACAGATTTTGGGGAATAACAAGTACTATTGACGATAATCGTATTTCTTTATCAAAAAATTGTGCATGGTTTTTCACTTTTTTTCCGTAAAAAGTGTTATATCCACCGAGCTGAAACTCCTTAACAGTCCTGAATCATCCAATTTCAATACAATTTTGCGCACCCCCTAGGGAGTTAGGATTAACAGGTTAGGTTTTGAACATTCTTCTTTGGATTTCGAGTGGCGTTATTATTGAAAACGAAAAAATGCATGAAAAACAAATGACCCTATACGCCTTTACGTACATAATTACTCTTTCACACAAATTAGTGTTGTATCATCACATCAAGTTTGGAACTTTTAAATCATTAATGCTCAATAATTACAATGTCAACCCTTGCAAAAAAAAGAAGAAAAAACAACAAACAAAAACACTTTCCACATTTAAACACGTCTTCAAAAAAGAACAAATTGATCCTAATTGTTTCATTATTAAAGCTATCTGAAACAAATTGAAGTACATTTTTTTCTTTACTGTTCACAATTGAGCTATGGGTCATCGAACTTCAACTACCACCACTAAACATAATTCTTATCCCAAACCAAAAATGGCATAGAGGAAAGTAAAACGATTTTTTTTTAATCAAAGAAATTTTATGCGACACGTTTTAATGCTACTACCCTGATTTTAGTTTTTCCACTAGATCACGGGATCTATTTGACACTTTCTCTTTAAACAAAACTGAACAAAATGATTTAAATTTGAAAAAGCCTTGTTTTGGTACAACACGATTCAAAACGAATAAGTTATGACCACAAGTTGCACAAGTTGCAAGTCAACAAAAACAAATCACAATACAGCCACACACTTATTTGGTCATTTTACAGTACCATCATACATTAAGTAATGTTAACACTTAAGTAGTGCAAATAAACACTAGGAAGTAGGTGACACAGTTCTACACAAAGATGCAATTCTTCTTGAGAGAGAAGTTAACTAAATCAGACAAAACAGAGGAGTTTGAATTGAGATTTGGCTAGGAACCTTCAAGAACCTTCCCAAATCCGAGATGGTGCAGAAACCAGTTCTTTTCAAACCATCATTCAGCTCTCTTTTAACAATCTTCAGGTTGTCCCACAAAAAACTTAACAGTCGAAAACCCATTACTAAAGGTATACTGCATATGACTTGTGGAATATTTTCAAATTGCCTCTTAAGTCAGATAACCAATCTACCATACAATTTTTCATTCAAATTGATGTATTGGAATAAACGCTATGCTTCATCGAACTCAAGGGTTGAAAATCGTCTTGGACCACTTTCCTTGAAAGTGAGAAAGCGCAGTTAGAGAAACACACAAAGGATTTATTTCCTTTGTTCAAGAGTAACGTGTGACTGGCTTCGATCTGTAAACCTGAGAAATAAAAAAAGTGGCCCAAGTGGTTTTTCAAGTCCGCTATTGTGATTGCAACAAAATATCCTAATGAAACCAACTAAAAAGCATTTGGAAGACCAATTATTCTACTCAGCAGTACATTAGATACAATTTTGAATACTACCCCCACTTTTCTGAAAACATGCCCGATTCGACTGATAGATTTTTTTTGTGGGACAACCTGTAAAACAATAACATGTGAAAACTCACATAGGGCACACTGTGTCTAGAACAATCTCTTTGCATACTGTGTGTGTAGTTACTTGAAACATTCAACTGACCAAATCAAAACGACATCGTTTAATAAAATGTAGTACTTTCTTTAAAACAATAGGTTCCGCTTTAAGTTTCATCAAAAATACTTTTGTGGTAAACCTCGTTTTTTTTGTCCTTTAAACACTGTGAATACTGTTATTAAAGTGAAGTCCGCCAACTAATTGTAACATTTATTGTGAACACATATATTTATCCAAATGACAAACGAAACTAACTCATTTGGGAAGAAAATCCAGATATGAGATATGCCTATAACCTACGCACTTGGGGAATTCTCTCTTACGTAAAAAATGCCTGCTTAATTCACATATCACAGACGAACTTTTGGTTTAAGTTGTGTTTGCCCCATAGAGCTACATGTATATTAAATTACTAGAGCGCTAACTCCTCATTGTTGAAGTCGTCCAGGGCGCAGACATTTTGAATTCATGTGCGTGTTTGCAGAATAATGAAATTAGATGGATTGCATTTTGAAAGTGTACTCTAAATGCAACGCGCAAGTAGAACATAGGCAAACTTCTTAGGCGCGTGTTACGGTTAAAAAAACACAGTTAATCATCTGCAGCGGATACCCACACGCGCTGCGCTGTTTGTGTAGAGCAAAATGACACGCTCATTTGCTGATCATGCGTTTCGATTCTGGGCCAATCGGCTTCGATGATGCACCGGTATGGAATACAAACGAAGATATGCAAATAGCCGTACAAAACACGTACACAATTTCTAGTTCTCCATAGGTTTGTGCACAAACATGGATGCGCCCAGCAGGCATCACTTTGTACATGAGTCAGCGCTATAGTAATTTAATATAGCTCTATGGTTTGACCACATAGTGGACATTCACCTGTGTACGGGTACCCGCATACGGGTGTGCGCCCACAGAGCTGGCCAGGCAGTGAAGCCACCTCATAAAATGCTGAAGTAAGGCAAATTTGTGAGAGTTGAAAGGCGTTCAAGTTTTAGAGAACTCATATTGCAAAAATGTGCCTTGACTTTATAAATGCGTGTTCACTTTTGTGCCGAGTATGTGCTAGCCTTCTACTGAGATTTGTACATGATTACATCAACAGAATCATAAGTAAATACTGACATTTTATGTTACTATCATTCAAGAATGTGCAAAGGATTGTAAACAGCAACCCTCGGCCTAAATTCTTAAATGCAACACAGTTTCCTGATCAATTCCTACAGTCCATAATTTCTGCAGTCCTCTTGTTTGAGGTGAAGTCTCTGCCAGCCACTGCTAAAGCCTGCCCTCTGTTGACAGGATTCAGGGCCAGTAATCCAAACGTTACTGGGAAGTGTTCCGGTTTGCTGATCACGGTTCAGGGTACAAAAATACAATTTAGCTTTACAGGATGATACATACATGTAATACACTGACGCGGAAATAGTACTGTGAACATAACCCTTGTCAAACTCTTTCTAACCCTTTTGTAAAAGTGAGTTTTTTTTCTGAACCTGTGTTTTGTAGTCAGGAAGGTTTTTGGGTTAAATGGACTGAATCTTGGCAGAGTTGCAACCAGTCAATCACAAGTCAATGACAAATCTGCAGTGTTGTAGGGCTTGAGTCCAGGACTCGGACTCAAGTCTGTCTCGAGTCGTAATTTCGGTGACTTAAAGACTTGACTTGAGTTACAATCAGCAAAAGACTCGGACTTGATCAACATGACTCAAACTTGACGCTAATGACTTGTGACTCACAAATTTTTTCAACAAAAGAAAATAACCCTTTTAAAAACATACTTCTTCTGTTTATTTTCAGAAAGTAATGTTAAAGCAAAGCTAAAGAATATTAAAGCACACGAACAGTAGAGCACTACTCTCTAGGTGGTGTTGCAAATAATGAGGTTTCTGCCCCTCCCTGTTTCCCATGACAGCACACCACTTACATATCGCTTACATGTAAGTGTGTCCATGATCATGCACATCCATTTCGTACAATGCATATGCCTACATGTACATGTACACATCGGTAAATGACTCGTGACTGTGACTCGGTCTTGAATCAAATGACACGACACGCAAGTGTGTCCATGTTCATGCACATCCATTTCGTACAATGCATATGCCTACATGTACATGTACACATCGGTGAATGACTTGTGACTGTGACTTGGACTTGAATCAAATGACTCGACACTAAGTGTGTCCATGTTCATGCACATCCATTTTGTACAATGCATATGCCTACATGTACATGTACACATAGGTAAATGACTTGTGACTGTGATTTGGACTTGAATCAAATGACTCAACACGTAAGTGTGTCCATGTACATCCATTTTGTGCAATGCATATGCCTACATGTACATGTACACATAGGTAAATGACTTGTGACTGTGACTTGAATCAAATGACTCGATGTTCATGCACATCCATTTTGTGCAATGCATATGCCTACATTTACATGTACCGTAATTTTCGGAATATAAGCCGCGGCTTATACGTTGATTTTGCCCATGAAAATGTTTACTGCGGCTTATACACAGGGCGGCTTATACGCCGAGCCTTGAAGAATAAAAATGAAATTCACATGTGTATTTAATGTACTGGTATAAGAAGAGATATGTTGCTGAAATGAATTATCAATTAAGAAAGTCATTAACGAACCGAAACCACGTGCCACGTAAAGGTGCCGAGCGGTAAAAAGTACGGTGAAAGCTGTCTTCGATCGACGCTTGCAACAAGCCGTACGTGATTCTAGTGCTGCTAGCTAGCTGCATTCAGCATGCTTTCACCAGCGGACCACACCATTTGAGGTAATATAGGGGTGTACTATCTTGGAAACAACATTTCCGCTGCTTAAAAAAAAGAAAAAAGACGACTAATACTTTTTATGGTGTCCGAAACATTTCTTTATTCGAAAATCAGTTGTTCAACGTCACAATATAATATTTGTACTTGAAATGTATTCAAGAAACGATGTAAACCTCAAAACAGGGACTACATCACCCCTTACAAAATTAATGGATTCGTCCATGAAAATGGCAGCATCGTTTTGACTATTTTCGAAGAAAGTTACGATCAAAACTTGAGTACTGCTCGTTAGTAATCACAAAAATTTGATAAGTTTTGAGATAAAAACGGACCTGTATATTTTTAGGACAAAACAAATCAGCATCTGTTGCCACAAAGCAAGATTTGTAAGTAGCGCTCCGGTCAGACAACACACGCAATGGGGGAAATCAAGTCGGGTTGCATACTCTCTCACGTGCTGCAGGAAAATGTTGTCCTAGGCCGGCGCGGCGCAAGCTGCCGCGCCGAGCGATGTATTAACTTTTACGGCCGGGGACCGAACGGGGCAGCCGGCAGCAATTCCCGGTGATTATTTCTCATCAGTTTCCACATTTGTTTGTGAGAGTATCGATTGTAAATGATTTGATACAACTTTTGTGGCCCTTTTTATAGCTTCTGTAGTGTAAATGGAACTGGTTCAGAGCATTTTGGCTAGAATTTGGAGGCCTTACAAAATTGAAACCGCTGCCGTCGGTGCGGCTTATACGCCGGTGCGGCTTATACGCCGACTTCAAATCTTAATTTGCAGATTTTTGCGTGCTGCGGCTTATACGCCGCGCGGCTTATATTCCGAAAATTACGGTACACATCGGTAAATGACTTGTGACTCGGACTTGAATCAAATGACTTGACACTAAGTGTGTCCATGTTCAAGCACATCCATTTTGTACAATGCATATGCGTATGTACACATCAGTAAATGACTTGTGACTGTGACTCGGGCTTGAATCAAATGACTCGACACTCAGACTTGGACTCCACCCCAGTGACTCGAGACTCGGACTTGACCTGAGTGACCTCGAAACTCTGACTTGGTCTCACCGGTCACTACTCGACTACAACACTGCAATCTAATCACAAGGATAGCCCAAAGTAACAGGATGAACAATGACAAACGAATGCCTTTTTAAATGTTAACCTGAATAGCCTGTCTATCTGACATAAAAGTGAGTGACTTTTGCTTGACTTGTGATTTTACTTGACCACATTTCTGCTGTGTGGACAGGACAGTCAACTGTGGCCTAATTCATGTAACTTGTTTAATCAACAAAGTTCACCCGTATGTTAAGTCTTGATTTTTTTTATCAATGCTTCTACTGGACACAGTCAATGGTTCACATAACATTAGTATCTTCTTTTCACTGGTAACCAGTCATACTTGCCGAGCCAGTATTTGGACCTTGTATTGGCAGACTGTTTCTCTACACCTGGCACTATTGAAACTCAAGAGGGCGCTACGTGCAAAAACTTAACAATGTGACAAGAGAAGACAAACTCTTTGGTGCACCGAACAAACACAAATGGAGTTAAGGTGAGGGGCGACCACGAAGGGTGGGGCTTGCAGATCAGAAAAGTCTTTTCTCAAATCTAAGGAGAAAAAAAAATAATAACAAGACATCAATTTTCAGTAAAGTACAGAGTGCTCTACTGAGGCAGGAGGAACAGTGCAACCAGGCAACTACGATTCCTGAGTGCAACTACAGTTTGCAGTGCAGTTTGGGTCTACATGTATAAGGATTCACCAGGTTTGGCAATAGCTGTTTTGAGATATGGCAGGCGCAATTGGAGGCTAATATTCCACTTATATTCCTCAAATGGCTTTCATTTCTCATTAATATTGGTGATGCCATTCTATAATGTTTTCAAAACCCTTCCCCTTTCTTCACGCAATTCACACTCGACACAACGTTTCAACCACAGCGCCGTGGTCCAGTGTTTAATCCTAACCGCCCTGAATCCTTCAAAATCCTCTTTGCCAAACTGGAGGAATTTGGAAGATTGAGGTAAAAGTGCGTTGCTGGTTTAGTAGGATGCACTTTGTCAAGGTCTTGGGCCGGACCTTGCGATGTTTTTGCTTCGCCATGCATAAATATAGGCCTGGATTATGCTTGAAATCCTCCGTACTGCTCCAGGATGGCACTGGCTAAGCCTCAACATATTGACAGTCAATACAGCAGAAGTTTGCAGGATTCAGGCAGTGGTCATCCCTCCATGGACCATATTCAAGAAATAATGGAGGATTTTGCAGGATTGAGGCCAAATCCTAGTAAAAACGCATAGGGAGTTAGGGTTAAGGTGTGTGACCCATGCGCCATGGTACATGGGTACGAATCCTTAGTGGAAACATGGTGCTCGTGTCCTGGTGTCCGAAAAGTGGTTTGTACAGGTTCCATATAATTTGGGATAACACAACTGGCATGTGATAATACTCACGAATGCAAGCCATGGACGCTGCCTTCAACCTGGGCAGAGGTGGTTCTTCTTTCAAACCGTAGTTCCCCTGAATACATTTTCTCTCTGGCAAAAGAAACAAATTAAAGAAATATTTATTTACAGCCAGTCTTCACCTGGGACAAATTTACAGAGCTTAGGCCCCGTGGATTAATTCCGATTTGCGTGCGCCCCTGTGCGCCTGCGAGCGCACGCGTGCTCATGCGTGCTACCCCGTGCTGCACGGGTCTGCCCGCAATTGCATAGGCTCCTGCGTGCCGTTGCGTGCCGTTGCGGGCAACTGCGTGCCATTGCGTGCTTATGCGGGCTATTGAGCACAGGCAAGGGTTGCTACACTAATCCCTAGATTAACGCTGACAAAAGAAATTGGGTAGCTGGCCAATTCGCAAGGCGGTACAAGAAAAAGAGAATGTGATGAAAGGGCTGGAGTTCCAATGACATAAAAGACGTTGGCGCGTGGCAGTGCCACAATGGTGTCTGGATTACTCTTTTATGATACGTGACATTACATGTACAACACTTCTGTGCCCCGACCTTTAAAAATTCTTTGCGGCAAGGTGCGGCAAGCTTTTAATAATTTCTTTTCATACCACTGTTTTAATAAAAGTCTGCACTTTCTGGGTACGAGTGTACCAGTCCGTACCATTTTATATTTATAAAGTTATGAAAAAGACTTTCAAGTAGATTTTAATTTTACACGGTGTTTTAAATGAAAGTACCGGCTCACGCGGTAATGTTTGGGGCATTTCCTGTCCTTTCCTGGGCACTTTTATCATTAACATTTCGTTAACATTTCCTGTCATTTTGAAATGCGTGTAATTATTGGTACCACCAGAGTAGATGAGTCATGCTTGGCCCTGCCAAGTGTTTACAACTAACTAATGAGCGGATTAAGGGACACAATGGCTAAAGTCCAAGACGATGTCTATTGTGCATTTCTGCGGTTTGTTTGTAATGTTGTACTGCCTGGCACTGAGCCCGTTTGCGTGCCACTGCGAGCAAGTCCGTGCCAATGCGGGCAGATGCGTGCCGATGGGTTCAAAATCTCCTTTATTCGAGCTTGCCTGCATGCGCACGCGTGCGCCCGGGGGCGCACGCAAATCGGAATTAATCCATGGGGCCTTAGTTATAGGCTCACAAATTTCTACAAATGGAGGATAGAATGCTAATATGCTTGAAATAGTGACTACAATGCAAGTCTTCATGTTCAAGAAAGGGGTAGGATGTCTTTGTCGTAACGTCAACTTAAAGGTAGAGTGGATCATTGTTAATTGCATCCGAAATTAGTGTCCGGGACACGTTCTCATTCAGCCAATTGCAACTACATGTACGTGATGTCACACACTGAACTGACGAATAATAGCAACCGCGTGCACTTGTGCGTTGTGTCAACGCTGACGCACACCAATTCACAGAGTGCTTACAACATACAGGGTGTCCCCCCCCCCCAAAAAAAAAACTCAAATCGCCCTCTTTTCACAGCTTTTGCAAAAATACATCGCTGAAGGTCAATAATGGTCATTTCTCCTTTTGGAAGGAATGGTAGTCCTGAAAAGTACTGTTTGGTTAACTTCTTAGATGTTTACTGTGCTGCTCTGCCTCTGCCCTCTACTTAGAAGCCTCTTTCACGGATGCAAGTTTTGGCCCGTGCTGCAGTCAAATATCAGTCGCAGTGGACAAAACGAAAAAGCGGCACTTGATTTCAATTGGCCATAACTCAATAAATGTTTACCTGATTTGAAAGATGTTTTCGTTGTTGGAAAGCTGATGAACTACCGGTACACTCTCTATATAAGTATCGATATTTGCGATATATTTTTTTAAAAGCTGTGAAAAAGAGGGCGCTTGGGAGGTTTTTTTTTTTTTGGGGGGGACCACCCTCTTTAAATGATGTACATTTTGATGATGCATCAGTGTTGTAGTTGAGTCTAGCACAAGTGCAATTACAAAGGAATAATGACCAAAGTCTGCCTTCGTTACAGTCCATTTGAACAGCTTATGACTTGAATTGAGACAGAAGGACTTGTCATGGACTAGTCAACTGACAGGGCGATGGACTCGACTATGAAGCATTCATACGTGAATCCTGGCTCGACCTACCTGAGTTGTGTCAGACTCTTAGCACCAATGTCTTGACAGCCGTGTTGGACCCCAGCTATAAGGTACGGGGCAAATTTATGAATGGAGCCCTTGTCCACAATGTTGCCGGATACGCCCTGCGCCACCTTCAGCTTGTCTCGCTCGCTAGTCAGTGGAGGAAGACAAACAACAATTAGGATTTCTCAAAAATCTCAATAAAATCCAGAAGTTTTAGCATTCGTTTGAATTTCACTTTCAGTTTCGATTTTTGGAAACCAGATATTCGAAAGTGACATTCAAAAAAGATTTAGCCTTCTATTTTTGGTGACACAATCTGAAAAGATGAAGAAAACAACTCTTGAACAATTTGCTCCATGGTCTCTGATTATAACAGCAATCACTCACTAGCGTGCAAGTTACAATTTGTGTGCGGCGATTGATATTATGGACTGGAGTGTTTTGGTGTAAGTATTTTATAACTATTATGGGAACAATGACCGCCATCGACAATAAATGAAGCTTCGACAAAAAAGTGTCATTTAACAATAAAGGGATTTTATTGTTTTCCTGAATATTAAAACCGGAAAAAAGCTATATAGATTCGAATATCTGCTCGATGATCGATACTTATTATTCAGCATATTTGGGACAGCCCCACTTTCAAATTGTTGAGTTTTCTGCTCAGCAATCACAATACCTCTAAATCAGGCGATTCAAGGGCAAGCCTTAGGCCAGCAACTTACCAATGGAATAATCTGGTGTTTTTATTTTGATTTTTGTTTTAAGTTTTCATATTGAAAAAACCCCCAACAAACATCTGCCCACGTTTTAGCAATTGAATATTTTACTTTACAAATCTTGAATTATTAGCAGCCTGACAATACTTCAGGCTTAACTGTTTGTGCGTTAATTGCATAACAGGGAATCATCAGATAGTATACAAATGTTGAGTAGCTCAGAGTCGAATGGGAGGAATATTATCGCAAGGTAAAATTTGGACTTTTCCATTTCACGAGGCAAAGCAGAGTGAACTGGAAAAGTCCAGATTTTACCGAGCGATAATATTCCTCCCATTTCACAATTTAAAGCCACTCAATATTTGTTTTATATAACTGACATACAGATCCTTGTCATTTGATATATTTGAAGTTTTATTTCAACACAAAACTGGAGGAAAATGTATTTCTCTCTTCCAAAGATCCCCTTCACGAAAATGTTTGAACCCAACGCTGTAGCGCTGGCTCTTTGGAACAATACGCGCTACACGCAACGCTGAACGCGCACACCAGCATGCATTTGCACACAAATACCGCGTCATGGAACAAGAATGATCCTAACTGTTCAATAGTATTGCCCATTCCCCATGGGCGGATAGTACTTTTTAAGCCGCGGCGTGAATGGCAGTAATAACAAATGACACGTGATGTGAGTTTCACCAATCAAATGACAAGGATCTGTATGTCGGTTAAATAATTGAACATGTCCCCGTTGGTAGAGCAACTTTAAGTGAATGCATTCTACCTGAAGTATCTCTGTGCGCTGGCTTTGTTAGACTCCATGGCGTCTAGGGAGCCCATGCCCCGGTACTTCTTCAGCCTCACACCATCAGAAAAGAAATACTCCCCTGGTGCTTCACTGGTGCCCGCTAGTAGACTACCCATCATTACTATAGAGAAAAGACGGAACCAGACACAACATCTTTTTAAAATCAAGTTAACTTTAAGAAATGAAATTCAACTTTAAGTACACACACAAATATTAATTTGTCATAATACGTGTATCAAGCTGATTTCTTTTACTGCAAACAAGTTGGACGAATATATTTTTTTGTGGTAGTAACTAAATGATTGTAGTAATTAAATGACATGTTTTGTCAAAATTAAAATCCAATTTACAATTACAATTATAAATTATATAATGGACACTATTGAATTGTTTAAAATGTATGTCCGACACTGTTGAACTGCTCATTTGTCAAAATTTCTTTGTATGCACTACACCAAACAACACAAAAAAGTTATTTAAATCAGTGATTTAAAAAAAAAAAATTATTTGATTTTAATCATGATTTAAATCAGTGATTTAAATCAACCTGATTTAAATCAGCCAACCCTGTCATGTTTGGACCAATTGGCATGAATTTCAGTCTTTGTGTCAACTCTCATAATAGCAATTATGGAAACAAACTTGGATAATCCTATGTGGATTTGGCAGAATGATCTAGAGCAGAGAAAGAAAACAAGTTGTGAGTGCACAATTAGCTCTGGCCATCTGGCATGAAATCTATCAAAATGATCCCTGCCAGAGCTTAAAAACGCGACGCCGATGGCACATATGGAACACCATACTTTAGATTTATACCTAGATTTATAGCGATTTGTGATAAATACCATGTGACTATAACATTGCTGCAGACATTTTGCCTCCATTTACAAACTTTTCATATCTGAATTGTTACAAACATTTTTTTTGAAGTATTTAATTGATTATGTTTGGGTTTTTTTAATATTAAAATTCGGTAGTTATATTTTATGGGAAACTTATTGGGCTTAATTTCGGGGAGCAAGAGTGTTTTTTTATGATGACGCCATTTGGTCAATTAGTCAATTATTTGTGGTCAATTATTTGCGGTCAATTTTCAGGGGACAAACAAACAGACAGACAGACAGACAGACTGACCGACCGACCACCAAGTGACATGTAGAAGCTCCTGCCAGAGCTAAAAAAATTATATGGGGAAACAAAAAAAATTCCGTCCACAATACCATTCCGGCTACATAATCCTGCTTACCTGTTGAAGCCCCCAGTGCCAGAGCCTTTGTTATATGGCCCACTGATGTGATACCGCCATCGGCAACTACTGGAACGCCAAAGTGACGGGCATACTCTGAAACCTTGTATACCGCTGTACCCTGAGGACGTCCTACTGCCATCACTACATAACAAAACAAAAAAAATGCGATTTTGATTAAACAAAGATGAGGCTAAAAAAAATATATCAGTCAGTTATCCTGACCTGGGCCCAATTTCGTGGCTCTGCTAACAACAGAATTCCTGGCTTACGATCACCATTCTGCACTAACGACACTAGCAAAAAAAATCTTTGCTAACCATGTAAACACAGAATCCTAAGTTACGGCATGTACGCATGTGCATTAGCCAAAATTCCTAATTAAGCTATTATATAATCGTAAGCATGGAATTTCCTGCTACCATAAGCAGGGATTTTTCACTAACAGTAAGCGGAGCCGTGAAATTGGGTACTGCTGATTGATGATTTCACCTATATGTACAATCTGGGGCCGTCATGGAGCTGTAAAACATAGACTTCTTGTACATGCAAGCACAGAGTATACACGTATATGCAATTGCTTAGCATTATCAGGTAACCAACTACTACACGTATGCGCCACATGATTTATATCGCAGAGTGACTGATTTCCATCTAATTTGTGCTTAGCAAATAACTTTGTTTAATCCTCCCTCTCTGGCTGTCAAATTCAACACAGCTTTCCCAGCAGTCAAAATCAATCCAGTGACTGTTTTTAACAGTTTAGAGCTCCCATCCAACATGTACATAAAGCAGGATTGACTGGTTGTGATTGTTTATGTCACTTGATACAGCTTTGCCTTGACAGTAGGTGATTGATAAGACAGCTGTAACTACCAGTTACTTGCTTTTGTCTGTTGATGGAATTTGACTAGCCACAGTGCTTGCTGAAATCTGATCCGACTGTTGGTGACTAGCCTGTGTATTTAAAGGCATGGCAGCTGGGGAAGAGGATTGATTATTTTGCCTGTCTGTGAATGATCAGACAGCAGAGGGCTAATTTTAGCAGTATTTTCCACTTAAAACGAAACTGGGCCAAGATGATATGTACCGGTACATGTACAGCGTGTCCCAAAATACCCGCATCATTTTTTTTGCGAGGCTCTAGCGTCGCCGCGGAAACCCGTACCGCCATTATTTTTATATCATTTTAAAGCTTGGAATCTTAACTTTATCCCTGGTAAGTATTGGTTTGATTTTTAAAAGGGTTTTGAAATTATTCGTGTTCAGTTAAAGGCATGTCAAACCAAACTCAACCGATTTCAAGGAAAATCAATCATGCACATTTTTTTCTAATGTGGAAATGCTTCATCATGTTCATGATGTGATGATCTCGTTCTCTTTTACTTTCTATGTTTCCTTTTCTTTTTGATCCACGTAGTCTACACCTCAAATAAATTCACAATATTGTTCTTCATTTCAAGTTCAATGTCTTTTTAATATAAATCAACTGTTTTTTTATAATTTCAACAGCTAGTTGACTCGAGTTTGCATCTGATGTACCGCATCATCAGTCAAGTTTGTTTACGACATGCCTTTATTTGAGCACGAATAATTTAAAAACTCTTTTATCAAACCAATACTCGCCAGGGATAAAGTTAAGATTCCAAGCTTTAAAATGGTATAAACATAATGGCGGTACGTGTTTCCGCGCCGACGTTAGAGCTGCGCAAAGAAAAAGTTGCGGGTATTTTAGGATGCACTGTATTTTAGGTATTTTTTTCATACTGGAACACTGTGTACATGTGTATCTTGGGGGGGGGGGGGCCCTGGTGGGGCCAGGCCCCCCTTGGCAAGCAATTGGCCCCCCTTACAGCAAAAGCTATATGTATGTATTTTTGTATTTGTTTTTTTTATGGTAGTGGGCCCCCCTGATGCTCACTGGCTGGCGACAAGCATGCACTGAGCACACCTTCTTTCTGAGTGTCCCTCCTTACTACATATACATGTAGCTATCGCAGTTTCTGTTCATGTGACAAACCGGATCAATTCAAATAATAAGGATGAAAATTCCCCTTGTTGTGTGGACTTCAATGGTCCCCATTAAATGCAGTTTACACCGGAGAGACGTGAGAAGTCAGGACCTACCCTACACCATGGGATACCCAAACTACGAGTGTAAGAGGGCAAGTCCAACATTATGGAAGAAAAATATAATGTCTGTGACAGCTTTAAGAGCTCAGCCTCTTAAAATCAAAAATGTATATTTCTTATTTATATAACCGACATACAGATCCTTGTCATACGATTGGTGGAGCTCACATCACGTGTCATTCGTTATTACTGCCATTCACGCCGGAGCTCAAGAAGTACTATCCGCCCATGGGGAATGGGAAATACTATTGAACAGTTAGGATCAGTCTTGTTCCATGACGCGGTATTTGTGTGCAAATGCATGCTGGTGGTCGCGTTCAGCGTTGCGCGTAGCGCGTATTGTTCCAAAGAACCAGCGCTACAGCGTTGGGTTCAAACATTTTCGTGAAGGGGTGGTTTGGAAGAGAGAAAAACCTTTTTTTCACCAATGTTGTATTGAAATAAAAATTCAAATATATCAAATGACAAGGATCTATATGTCAGTTATATAAAACAAATATTGAGTGGCTTTAAATTGTGAAATGGGAGGAATATTATCGCTTGGTAAAATCTGGACTTTTCCAGTTCACCCGGCTTCGCCTCGTGAAATGGAAAAGTCCAGATTTTACCTTGCGATAATATTCTTCCCATTCCACGCTGAGCCACTCAATATTTGTACACTGATACATCCATCATCAAGTAATGGTCAATGAGATAACAGAATAGGAGTTTTGGATCTGTTCTTTGAATTATTAACCCTAACTCCTAGGCTTTTTTGCAAGGTTGCAACCTCAATCCTGCAAAATCCTCCAACTGCCTCCATGTAAAAATAGCATACAGCCTCAGTCCTCCAAAATCATCCGTTTTCTCTAAAATGTGGTTCTTGCTGGGGTAACCACTGCCTCAATCCTGCAAAATCCTCCAGCAATCACTGTCAATATGTTGAGGCAGAGCCAGTGACATCATGGAGCAGTACCGATGATTTCAAGAACAAACAATACACGGCTAGGCATAAATAACACAGGGTCCGGCCAAAGACACAGTGCATCCTCCAAAATCAGCAGCACATTTTGGCCACATAGCCTCAATCCTGCAAAATCCTCCATTTTGCAAAGAGGATTTCGGAAGGTTGGGGTACTGTAGATACCATGGTTAATAGGTTGTACCATGGATATTGCCTGTTCTTCCATAATCCTGGAATTCAGTGCCTCCAAACAGTATTGGAACTGATAGAGACCTACATTGTACAAGTACATGTGCAAGTACACGTACGCAGAACATTGCTAGACATGCATGCACACATGTATGGACCAAAAAGCTACCGGTTCATGTAATTTCCATATAAGGAGTTGTTTACCAGAGGGCCTTACCATTGTATAGCTAGAGGGGAGTTTTGTTGATCAAAATCATTGAAAATGTTTTAGTTTTTGACTTGTATTGACTTTTGGACCGAAAAGTTTTGATTTTTTGACCAAAAAGATATTTATGAATGGGAATAAATATGTGCGATGAGATTTGAAGGTTTGCATGGTGGAAAGATACTAAGACAAGATAAGTTTGCAGTAGCACCATGTGAATCAATCTCTTTTGTGAGTATGTGTGGTTCTGAAAAGAACCGGAGGGACTCAACGTTTCGAACAGTATGCTCTGCCCGTCGTCAGGAGAATGCCCGTCGTCATTCATAAATGACAGAAACTTATCTTGTCTTAATAAGTATATGCTTGGTTGGTGTTAAACACTATGTTCCAGACTGGTTGGAGTCTGAATGCCATTGCTTACCCTCGCCTTCGGCTCGGGTAATCATCAGCATCCAGACTCCGGTCTTAAACAGAGTGTTTAGCACCTCCTAAGCACACATGTATTCCCTTATTTTAGACCGGCCACGTGACAGGTTCTCGACCAATAGGAATGGGTAAACTGCCTCAGGTACCGTACATGTACATGTATAGTTTAAAGCCTTAACTGATAAGTGTACACCACATGCTTATCAGGTTAAATAAGTTGATCACTATTAAAATCAATGATAATTGGCCAGGCATGCATACAGATATGTCATTTTCTACAAGAATGTCCATGCAAACACAATCCAGTAGACATGATCTTTTCTTTTAGGTGTCAGAAATATTACAGTTACATGTACCGGTACCATGGTTACAACAAAAATGAACGAAATAATGAATGAGTGTCTGGGAAGATGCCACCACCAAAACAGCAATATATACATGTATGCCTACATCCATGCACATGCAACATAATGTGTAATCATGCAAAAGTAAATTATGAAAATCATACAAGAACTAAACATAAAAAATAACTTCAAACAATGAAACAAATTTAAAAAAATCAAAAATCAAATGCAATTGTAGAGTACATTATGTACAAATACTTAGCTACGGTATCTGTGCTGAAAGTTCCTTAATACCGTACTTGCAAAAGGACAGACACAAGCCTTTAAAACAATTCCTCAAACATTTATTACATTTAACATACATGTACATGTACATGTATAGGCCCCCCCTATGGGTCATTACATGTACAGTAACTGTAAATTTGGGTCCACTTTTACTTTCTGTCTCTGTTACAATGTACATCTGATCTATGATTTTATAAATCTGATGCAACCTTAATGCAGTCGTCCTCCAAGAGCGATTATGTCTAGCAAACTAACTCCCCCCCCCCCCAAATCATTTGAAATAAATCTTAACGACACTTGAATGGCAAACTACAAAGTTCAGAGGTAACAGCGACAGGAGAAATGTCACACTTTGACCCTATATTTGTAGAATAACCTATATATGTGTCAAGTTGCATGTCCAAAGACTCTCATTCACTTATTCGAAGTACATGTACCGGTACATGTACAGTATTGGTGCTTAGGATTCATTCCTCTACAATACACTTGGGGACTTCTGGGAAAGAACTACACTAAGAAGTAAGATACAATGTACCGTACAACACAGCTTTTCATGAATTTATCAGAAAGGCCCTTAAAATGCACATCATGTGTACATGTAGAATGTCATATACATGTACTGGAACGTACATGAACATGTACTGTACTGTAATTTGCAGCCTAACAATCTGACAATAATTCTCAGTTTACTGCAGTCAGCAGGAAACCTACAGTAAGTTGGAGGGTTGGAGACGTCCTAAAAAGAAAGAAAGGTTGGAGACAAGTTTTTACACTTCTACATGTGAAGTCGCTTGCGATTCGACTTGTGATGGACTAAGCACATTGAGAAATCATGCAAAAATTTGCCATTTTGTTGTGACTCTAAGTTTTAAAGAGTACATGTACTTTTCTCAACAAAAATCTGAAATCAACAAAATAAAAAATATTAAAAAAATAATAATAAATTTTAAAAAATCAACAAAACTTACAGGATAATGGATACATGAACAGTACAACGAAAAGCACTGACCTAGTACTGCAACGCAAGTATACAAAGAGTACACATGTAACTATTGTGCAAAAACATTGGTGGCAGCGGTGGGATTGAAGTGACCAACACTGATTAGTTCACAACTTACAGACATTGGCCCGTAGGCCCTCCTGTAGGGTCATAGGGTTTTTGGTGATGCTGGGGACGGCTGTAACTCAAAACCACAAATAATGAACTCTGATCAGTTTGACAAACTCACAAGTTAACGGTTAATTTGGAAAGGCCATTCTTCACGTATTGATTGTCCTGTTTTTAAGTTTACATGTATGTGAGACTGTGTGCATGCACATGTTCAATCTGGTAGTAAAATCAAGTGCACAAGAAGAGCACACCAACAACTGTATGTATGCTGTACTTAAGCAAAATGATGCTATTATAGGGGGTCAGGTTGGCGCATTGGTTCTTTCCTTACCTTCCACCTCTATGGCCTGGGTTCGATTCCTGCCCCGGGCCACATGTAATAATTTGGCTCGGGTAATTATCAGCATCCAGACTCCAACCGGAGTTAAAACAGCCCAAGTACACAGTTGTTCCCTTAATAATAAATACCCACATGGTTGTGTGCTTCCCAAAATAGGCCCTGCAGCAAAAACTGCTGGGCCGAATTGGGAGATCTTGGTGTCATATTTTTTCTAAAAAGATTCTGCATCCATTGGTACAGGTGATTTGAGTCTCAAAGTTGTGGAAGTATGCCGTTCCGGTTTTTTTTTTTGGGGGGGGGGGCAACCTGTACTGTATAGATATGGACTTTTTAGGGTGTCTGCTTTTTTGGGGATTTTTAACCAACAAGTGTAAATAATAGCATAGTACAGTAATATCGCTCCCCGGCATTAGGGCATTAAGATCTTCTGTACCGGTATCTGCTCCTGATTGACATGTACATCCATATCATACAGCACTTCCCATTTTTTACTCTTGTGGATTTGCTTTTCAAAACAATCTTGATGACACTGAAGAATGGACCATTTCAATGTGCTTGACTTTATATGTTATTCACTACCATGAAGAGGAAGTACATTACTGGTGTGCATTTGCGGGTAGTACAGGAACCAGGTACCCTATTGTGATAAAACACAGGTACCCGGGTACCCGTAAAAGAAACCCAACCGTAAACTTCAAATCCAGGCAGTTGTCTAAAGGGCTTTATAGCTTTACGGTAAGCCTGTAACTGGAACTTTCGCAAGCGCCACTCTTCGTGTATTTTAATGCAAGAAAGGTGACGTGTTACACATACATGTATTTATTTCCAGTTCATTAAGTTAGAGAAAGGCTGTGAAAAACTGGAAACATTTACACTGTGAGGTTTTAGCAACACTGAACCTCGAACTTTTTCCAATAAAGGTAACTCTTGACTCGGACTCCAGCTTTGTGACTCGTGATTCGGACTGCGGGACTCAGACTCGGGAGAGGTGACTCGATTCTTTGTTTGGTGACTCGAATAATAATAATAATAATATTACCGGAGTCTTATAGCACATGTAGGCCTATCTACTAACAATTAGGTACTCAAGGCGCTGGAAATTATGTCTTTTATTAAAGACAGGTAAATGAAGATTATGAGAAATATGAGACCCACTTGTGCTGCGGCGCATATTGCAGCCACTGCCAGAAACACCGGGGCAAACCCCTTCTCTTAGCGACAAGTGTTACTGGGCTCTTTAACGTGCATTACACAACACACAGGACCTACATGTTCGGCTTTACGTCCCATCCGAAGGACGAAGCAATAATGGTAAAGTGCCTTGCTCAAGAACACAAGCACCATGTTGCCACGGTCAGTATTCGAACCCATGTACCACGGCACACAAGTCGAAAGCCGTTATCATTGGACCACGGCACTCCACTGTCTGGCTAAACTGTATTAGCAGGTATTACACAGCAGTTAGTTAAAGAGGTTGTGGAATGCTCGAAGACATTTCCGTCATTTTTTGGGTATATGTAGCCTAAGGTGTAATGAAATAAAAACGACTATTGTTTCTGTCATGAAATGAGTACAAAGGTTACTTTTGAGAGCTATTTTTCAGGTCCTGTTTCGACCCGAACGTGCAATTTGTGTAAAAGTCGTCGTTGCGGGCAGCAAACAAAACACAGAAAATTGTGACGTAATAAACAGGACTCGTTTATGCTACTCTGCATCGGGAGTCCTGTTTATTACGTCACGATTTACTGTGTTTTGTTTGCTGCCCGCAACGACGACTTTTACACAAATTGCACGTTCGGGTCGAAACAGGCATGACAGGACTTGAAAAACAGCTCTCAAAAGTACCTTTTGTACTCATTTTATGACAGAAACAATAGTCGTTTTTATTTCATCACACCTTAGGCTACATATACCCGAAAAAAAAAGACGGAAATGTCTTCGAGCATTCCACAACCTCTTTAAACCAAGTATATTATATGTACAATGTACACGTACAGATGCAAAATTAAATAAGGGAATAAATGTGTGCTTCGGAGGTTTTTATCACTCTGTTTAATACCACTTAGAGTCTGGGTGCTGATAATTACCCGAGCCGGAGGCGAGGGTAATTATCAGCACCCAGACTCTAAGTGGTCTTAAACAGAGTGATAAATACCGACGGAGCACATATTTATTCCCATTCATAAATACCTTTTCGGTAAGAAAAAATCATAGAATTCGTTCAAAACATCCCGATTTTGTTCAACAAATTCACTTTATGCTTTTTGAAACATCCCTCTTGCAAAATAATGGAGTGTTCAGCTGGCGAGTAAGATGTAAACAACCCTTTTATGGAGATTGACGCGCGCGTATCATGTTCTGCGCGATGTCGCGCAGAACGCACCTGGCGCGTTGCGTTTTGAATTTAGAACTTTAAATTCTGACTCCCTGGTAGTGTTGCGCATGCCTACGTGAGGATAGTGAACGTTCAACCAATGAAACGATAAGAGGCACTGGATTTTTAGGAGTCCACATTTTATTGTGACACTGGAAAAGTGTTTAAGACCAGCTAGCCATGTCTTTATCATCCGTTTAAGACCGGCCACGTGACGGGCTCTCGACCAATAGGAATGCGTAAAATGTCTTAGGTATTTATGAATGCAAATTAACATTAACCTATGGACCCTGAGTGCACAGGCTGCTTTTGGATTCAGGGCTGATGTCACCGAACTTGCAATAATGAACTTGATAAAAAGATAAGATGCATTGTCTTTCTTGTGTTGTTTAAGAAAGACAATGTACACGAAGTTCATTTTTTTGTGGTTTTGGGATACAATGTACAATTGACATGTACATACAATTAACAAATTGATATACATGTACCTGTTACAACAAAAAGCCATCATAAAGATAAAAAAAAAAAAACTAACCAAGGAAATATAACTTTCCTGGTCCAGCCCTTTCACCAATTGCAGTGTGGCAGAGCTGGGCTATATATGCCACGTTTCTAGTGATCTAGTCCTTTCGTGATTGTTCTGACAAAATCATTTCTGAGCCTTGCCGAACCGAACTCCAACTGGGCTGACTTTCAACACTTCTCCTAACTATGCAACAGAAGTGGTGCCATGGATGCTGAAAACCTTTATGGCAGACAACATTATTATACATGTAGCATTCCAGGGAGGGAGTTCCTATGGAATGTTGTCAACTTTTGATAATAGAGCTAATTAGAGTGGCAAAGCCCCCATGCTCACTGCCGAGGGCACAAGGGGTGGCTGAAGGTAGGGTTGGGGATGGGGATCAAGATTCAGGATGATGTGCCAAGGAGTAGGGGTCAGATTTTTAAATGCAAACATAAAAGTCATCTAATGTCCTTACAGTATAAGCCATTTCGGAGTTACAAAAATGTACTACTGTGCATGCGCACATCCCATGACAATGATTAGGGTCGGGGGATAAACAGTTCGCCACACGTGTGAAAAATCATAGCGGGGTACCAACGAAATTAAAGAAAAGTTCTTATTTTGAAGTAGATGCAAAATGTTGATTGTTTTCAACGGCACCATGGTTTACGTTGTTTCGTGTGCTCCAACTTTTGTGCGAACAAAAATTTCCATCTTCTGTTTTACTAGAACAAAATTGCAAAATGCGGATTCGATTACCACGTCCCCCATAGACTTGTGTGCATTTATCTGCTTTGTTTATCTTCCGACACTAAATCGTTGAATCTGATGTGCGCACGTGCAGTAGTACATTTTTGTAACTCCGAAATGGCTTATTAATGTATCTGTATTACATCACCACCATCACCAGACTTCCCCCCCCAACCCTTACCCCATGAGTGCACTCAAGGTATATTCCTAGAAGCAAAACATCCCCTCGCGTAACTCAACAGGGGGCAGAATGAACTATATTCTATTATATTTTTATTATATCTTTTTAATGGAGCGGGCTTTTCCCTCAGCTTCACCTCGAGACTACCTCAGAAGTCTTGTTATACTACACCACTCAAAGCAGTCATTATCTGGATACCGTCCTTGGGACAACTTTCATAATCCAAGAAAGAGCTCCATGGGGTAAATAATTAGGAAGGTTTGTGAGGAAACAAGCAAGGCATCATTGGCAAGTGGAGTGAAGGATGCGACAGTAAGGGAAGCCTTAGGATGGGCTCTCCCACGGATTACTTTGTTTCTATTTACGGACAATTCTGTATAAATATGAACTGTAGATGATACCCTATGGCCTACTCACGGAAGCCACTGAGTAATGACTTCGGATGCAACAATAGAAATCTCTGTTCAAGCAGCCATTACGAAGTCTACACTATATGATACAATGATACATGTAAGCTTAACCCTAAAAGGGCCGGGTAATTTTTACCATCTCTCAGCCGTGGTGGGGGGGGGGGGGGGGAGAATTCCGCCCCCCTAAAATCTCGGCCATTGAGTGACAAAAAAATTTGAAACTCGGTACATGCATAGAGCAACTCATCGTGAACATACCCAAGAAATTTCAGGACTATAGGTCACAGGGTTTTGGAATTATGGCTAATTAATTATTCATATGTACGAATGGTAATTGTGCTCTGTGTACACAAGGTATATGGGAAAGTTAAGTTTTCACGGCTCGTAAAATTTTTATGTTTTGGGTATAAAAAGATGCGCAAGACTCGAGGCTAAAAAGTCAAAACAGCTCGGGCTGTGAAAAAAAAAATTCCAAAGCTATCGCGGAAAAAGTTGGGGGGGGGGGCAGATTCTGCCCCCCGCCCTTTTAGGGTTAAAGGTACCGGTAGCATAGATCATTTGCAGCTATCCAAAAAATAGCACTGCTTCTGGATATCATCCACACTGCTCCAATGTCTTAAAAACGTAATGGAGGATTTTGATAGAGTTGAGGCAGTGATTACCCCTCCACGGAACAAATTCAAGAAAGAACGGACGGATATGGAAGATTGAGGCTGTATCCAATTTTTACCGGTTGGAAGTTGGAAGATTTTGCAGGATTGAGGATGCATCCTAGCAAAAGGACCTAGGCGATTAGGGATAAATATAGGTATGCTGTATATCAATGAAAATATGTACACTGTAGGAGGCCATTATCCGACCCTAATTATAGATCTTTGCATGGGTCTTACTGGAAAATCCCCCCCCCCCCCCCCCACTGTCATACACTGTAAATGTTCAAGCTTTAAATACACGCATTCCACCCCCTGACAGCTTTATAATAACTTTACATTTTTTCTTAATTGGGAATAGCAGAATGGCTCAGGTTAATTTTTTAGGGGGAAAAGTACCAAAGTAACAGCTACATGAATTGTATAAAAGAAATCTACTGGTGTGGTAGATAGTTAAGTTGAAATATCAGAAATAAACACCCAAAAAATGTGAAAATAAGTTTATAACTTACACAAATGATAGAATTGGCTTTCTGTCACTCGTGCAGAATCATAGAAAATTGAGATCATTTGGAGATATTGATAAACAGCTTCACAACGAAAGTGTACAAGCATTTCATATCCTATAGACACTAAATTGTCAACCAAACATTCCATTGTCCATTTGCAAAGAAAACTAATCATTGATCACTGCTCGCACAGTGCAGTGATCATAGTTTATGTGACAGGCTATTCATCAAAATGAGACCTCATCTTGAGGGTGTGAGATTGGGAGAAAATGAAAATTATTGATCACTGCTCATGCAGTGCAGTGATCATAGTTTATGTGAGAGGCTATGTATCAAAAATTTTTATCTAGATCCACGCGTACACCTGTCGGCAGCTTGAATTAACGGGTGTGAGATTGGGAGAAAATAAAAAAATTATTGATCGCTGCTCACACAGTGCAGTGATTATAGTTATGTGAGAGGCTATTTATCAGAACTCTTCATCTAGACTACATGTACACCTGTGGCCAGCTTGAAGTTAACATGTGTGTGATTGGTAGAAAATGAAAAGTCCACGGAATAATCGACAGAGGGCTTGATGGTCACTGCAGGCCCAGAGCAACATAGGGTCTATGAGTATGATACGGTATCGGTATATGTTTGTGTACAGTGTACATTTGCCTACAAGCACCCCTAAAGTACTAATTTCTTTTGCACCAAAAATGTTTATAGGTAAAAAAAATCCTTATGGTAAAACCTGAGGAATTCAGATTACAAAAGGGATTGTTATGAAATCCTAAATCAGAAAATTGACCAAAAAATCCTGATATCAAGAAAATTCCCAACAAAACAAAAATAACAAAATCTGGAAAAATCCTTACCAATCTCACCCCTAAAGAATATTGTAAGATTTAATCCTACAAACACTAGCCAATTTACAGTGTACGTACATGTAAATTTCTTAATTTGTGAAATCACTTTTGAGTCATGACTTGTAGGTGTATATCGAGAACCAGTACTGGTTGAAGTTATTTCAAGCTTCAAGAACATTCAAGTCCAAGTTTTTATTGCACAAATGTGGTTCTTCATCACGTTTTCCACGATATTCTTACCTTCTTGCGTGATGCAGATAGAACCACTGCCCATGCCTACTCTCAAGGCATCTACCCCACTATCGATGAGGCTCTTTGCTTGGGATGCTGTCACAACTGCGAAAAAAGGACAACTCTCAAATATTGAAAAGAAACATCTTGATCAAAAAAGTTTAATAGGAGTTACATTTTGTAACATGGAAAACACCCAACACATCACAGATGCAAGTAAAAACCGAAGAAGCAACATCATGAATTCCTAGGCTTCAAGGATATTGTTTTTTAAATTAGGAACACATAGTGTTGCATCTTTTACTTCACATTGGTCTGGTTGACCTAAAAAAAGTTTAAGCTTACAGTTCACACATGTTTACATGTACCGGGCACATATACATGTGGGTTCCTACAGTAATGGATTTTTTGCAGTATTCAGGAAGGTTCTCAGAACAAGGAAAAAATGCCAAAGGAGTTGTAGTTATGTTTTCAAATTTAATTTTGAGATAAAAATATTTTTTCATGTTTGAAAACTGTCTGTTTAACAGACGAGGGGAAGAATTCCATCACTAATTTTTCCCTGCAGAGACCTATCAGCCATAAGAAAGCGATAACATGTCCTAAAAAGTCAAATTACATGTAAGCAGGGAAAATGTTAAAGCATTTACTGAGAAAACAGTTTGAATTCTTCAAACCAGTCTCATAGGGTTTGTAAACATGGTGACAGGTGATGTCCAGGTATGGAACTCTTTCCCAGACAAGTTTTGGACAATTTTCCACAAAAAGTACTAATATACACCCAAACATTGTCTCTACAATTACTTGGATGCTGGCAACTTACTCTCCTCCTCCTCAAGAGAATACAATACATACCATTGCCTCCTACAACTTGGACGTCTGGGTGGTTCTGCTTGATGTATTTGACCATGTTGACCTGAAAGGACGAATTACCCTGTGAAGAATCCTAAAAGTAAAATGCAAAAAGAAAAGTTTGAAGAAAACTTAAGATGTGAGCATGTTTAAACCAAACAGTGAAACATATACATGTACACACAAGCTTGGGACCATTCAGTCAACATAACTACAACGATGCCAAATGTTCTGTGAGCGATGATAAAATGAACCAACACCAAATGTGTGATTCTGTCAAATCAGAAATTTCTGGAAAACTAGTCAATTAAACTTACGAATACTGTGTACGGGCACAGATCTTGCTAATCGCGTCTACATTACAAATTGGTGTCGCCCTTTTATGAAAATGACCCTTAGGAGAAGGGATTTTACCATTGCAAACTGTCTAGATCGATTCCTCGTGGTCCAAATGTACCATAAATATACCGAAATTGGTGGAGGCAGGATAGTGGCATTTTAGGTTTGTGCACAAGTCTATGGGAAAGTCGCCCTATTATAGCATTCAGTGAGATTATTCCACTAAATGTACCATTAAGGAGACGTGTTCTTGTAATTTCTTTGAACGGTGGGAGACACCGGTCATTAGGGAGACATTTTCATGTCTCCCTAATGTCATAGCCCCCTTTAGAGGCAAAAGTTTACTGTTGCAATTAGGTTATATTTGTTGCTTGTGGTCTAAGTAGTAAACATACCGAAATTTGTTGAAAAAGGGCAAGGGAATATTGGTCTAGAATACAAGTCTATGGGAATGTCTCCCAAATGTCCAATCCAAGGTAATTATTATCATTTATTATCATTTTGGAGTATTATTACCAATACAATGACATCCACGCCAGCCTGCGCCAGTAACTCTAGTCTAACTTTGTCGTCTTCTCTGGTCCCGATGGCCGCTCCTACTAGAAGCTGTTTGTGAGAGTCTTTGGAGGCCAGGGGAAACTCCCGATGCTTCTTGAGATCGGTTCGCGAGATCAGCGACACCAACTCATCTTTCTCATTGACGATTGGCAGCTTACCTGGTGAATCAAGTAAGGCCAAGAACAATGAAGAAAACAAGTTGTGTTTTACTATTTCATTGAATGCATGTGAAAAAGTAAAGGGTGGGTGAGTGGGTAAAATCTCTTTTGTTTGTTTTTAAAATAATTTTTGACTTGTTTCGACTTTTTGACTAAAAAGATATTATGAATAGGAATAAATACATGTATGAGCTTTGCCGGTATTAAAAGGAATATACAACATTTGCTTTTGCTGTAATTTTCAGAGTTGGGGATTAGTATTTCATAGAGGGGATTAGTATTCCATAGCAAATATTGTTACACTGACTTGTTTGATGTTTGGTGTTTGTAGATGCTGGAAAAACCAAGAAAAGTCTGGTTCCCTGACCCCACTTAAATTGAAATGGAGCAATTTACAGACGTCAGGAAATTGTAAGCTTGTACCTGTTTATAGATGTGTAATTGATTGCAAACAAAATTCAGACTAACTAAATATGGTAAATTGGGGGCAGTATTTGAAAAAAGCTAGTTTTTTCCTACTCTCGTCGGCAGTTGGAAATTGATACAAAAATACCACTTTTCTTGAAAATGTTAGCATACCAGGCGCCATGATTTTACAGGATGCTTTAGACTGTCATTCACTAACAGTCCAGTAAGGTATTTCATAATAATTTGGTAGTTTTGTTTTTTTAATGGTTGCAGATGTTGTATATTCCTTTTAAAGATATAGTCCATCATTTGTAATTTGTGCATTTTGTTCGTTTGAAGCAACAAAAGTGTTCAAAATCTAATGAAGGATACTGAACAACTAACCTGATGAAGTTTCAGCTTAGCCTCAGCTGTATATTCCGAGAAAAACAGCATTCTAGGATCTCAATTTCAAATCAAAAGTTTCTGAATCATGTTTTGAATTGTTTTGAATTGCAGCTATACGCGATGTCGCGCACTGATCCGACGAATTATAGCAACTGCCGCACGCCTGTGCGTCGTGCCAATGCTTGCGCGCGCTGTGCCGAATAACAAAACGAACTACCAATTCAAATTTTCCTACGGTGCGTCTTAAGACGCACCGTTGGAAAGACCTTCTTTCGTTGATTACTTCAAAATGATAGCTTGCTAGAAAGATTAATTTCACAGGGAGCTTAGTCCACTTACTATCTTTCAACCAAGTATGTTTTACAACAATAATACGCCAGTTACTTTTTCGGATAGCTGCAAATGATGGGACTATAGCTTTAAACAAGTCTGTTTAAGAACGGCTCGGGCCATTCCATTCCCCACGTCGGTCTTAAACAGACTTGTTTAAAAATGGCCAAGCACATATTTATTTCCTTAGTAAGAACATCACACAAGAAGAGTTTGCAGGCAAGTTTTCTCATAAGCTGGGTGATGTACAGTGTACCGTTCAACTACCAGAAAATACAAACAGCTGTGCATGTATTATTTGTGGTCTTATGAATAATGTATCAAGAACCACTCTCTTGTTGTGAATCTTGTGAAAAGTTGAGCAGGTGCACACGTGCGTCTAATTTCTTTTTTGAATGTGGATCGTGTGTTACATCTGATATGAAAGCACCTGTCTCTGGAGGCCAAGGTGAGTGCAGAATTGAACACATAATAAGTGATTGAAAAGAAACAGCAAGGGTAGAATATATTCTTGCGTTTTGTTTGTTCTCAAGTACTTCCAAGGGCTTACAATGTACATGTAAACATTTGTACATGTGTGTCCTAACATGAATTCATTTTCAGAAAAGAACAATTTACACCTGTAATACAGCGCCCCCATTCACGGATTCGCCCAATTACAAACCAACTACTAACAGAAATTTCCAAAAAATGTATGCAACAATTGACGCATCTTTGGCCTTCGTTGATTGTTTTCTTAAAAATGACAGCATGCCAGATGGAGTAATTTCACAAGGAGTTTAGCACCATTACTAGCAGTATCTTTAACCCTAACATCCCAGCAATTGACCTTTCGCCGTTTGCGAGTTAGCCACGCCCTCTGACAACCCTATGTAATGTTTGTACAGTAATTTTTTTTCCTTCAGATTTTGCACATTCTGCGTCCATTTGTATATCATGTAATTGGACAATATTTCACAAGCTTCGTTGACCACGGTGATTCTAACATGATTCTAACGAGATTCTAACGCGATTCTACGGCAATAGGTCAATTACTCTGGGATAAAAAACTGAGTACTGCAGAATACCATGAGTGTTGTGCACACTTAAATATACTGAAGTGTTTCATACTACAGTTTACTAGTAGTATTTTGTAGCTTTAGGTGGGGTTAAGGTTTTAAAACCAAGTAAGTTTTTTATAAACAATAATTAGGTCAGTTACTTTTTGGATTGCTGCAAATGATCTACTCTACCTTTAACACCCCCCTCCCCGCCCCCGACCAGCTGTAAGATGACTGGAAATAGTGGGATATTTAGTGTCAAGAGCAAAACTATCACCTGAGTCACCAGTGGATAGCTGCACGCCCCCGTCTTACCCTTTTTGGATTTCTGCAGGAGCACGTTGGCTTCCTTGAGTGTGACATTGGCCAAGGCAACCACCAGCTCCTCCCGTCTGGTCATCACCTCCTTCAAGGGAGTGTTGTAGGAGTCGGCCTTCAGGAAATCAATATCACGGGCCGTGACAATGCCAAGGAGCTTGCCTCCTAGGGATCCGGTCTCCGTGATGGGGATACCTGGATGTGAAGCACAGTGGGTGGAGAAGACGTCAAGGACAACGCAGTGTGGATAACACTTCCAGGACAGATGCGACATATGCAAGACATGTTTGACGTCCATGTATGTACAATTAATGAACACAGGTGCGCCAATGAAAATTGCTTTGTAAGTGTTTTTACAAGTGCTGGCTAACCTTCTGAGAAAAATTGTTTAAAAAAGAAAAGCGCTTCTTACCCTGAATGGCATGAATTGAGACATCAGCTCTTAAAGTAAATTTTTACTGTTAAATATTATTGAACTTACCGGTACCTGTATAAAAAAAATCAAAATTACATATTTTTCGATGGCTGTGCATGTACTACTTGTCCAAAAAAAAAATGTCCTTTTTTTATCCTAAATAACTCTATTGTTTACCAATGGAATTAAACCAAAATTTCGGATCAGTTTTGTACAAGAGGGTGAGATTTAAAAAAAAAACCACCTCACTTCAGAATGTCGATACAGTGCTGGAGACGGTGGCGGAAGGTGCGTGCTGCGGCCGAAAGCTTCTGAAGGAATGCAGGATCACCCCTGATGTCATTGCACACCTCGATTGCGTGTTGCACCAAACAATTGAGTTGTACAATAACATCAGGGGGATCCTCCATTCCTTGAGAAGTTTTCGGCCGCAGCACGCACCGCCACCGTCCCTAGCGCTGTACCGACATTCTGAAAGTGAGTTTTTTTGTTCATATTTCATTTGTCACAAGTCTTACATGTCTTAACTCACATGGAGACAGCATAAATTCAACCTTTCTATAATCTAAACGGTTTTTTTAATGCATATATACATGTATAATGACTGCATATCAGTTGAAAAAATGCCACACAGTGTTTGGTATTAAGTACATGTACCACACATGAAGTTAACATTTGATAAGTCTGAAGTTAATATTTGATACATGTAAGTCTATTTTAAAAAAATTGATTTAGTTTTGCAATTTTTGTATAATGGGCTTTAACGACGTGCTAGAAGAGAACAAATTGATAAGGCAAAATGCCAGGAATTGCTATACTCCCCAAAGAAAATTAAAAACAGGCTCAAAAGTCAGTTTTCAAGATGCTGCATTTGCCACTTCCAAGGTTCATGTGAGGTTATTCCAACTAAGTGTACAGTACCGTACATTTTACAGTATTTCATCTTTGAGAGGAGGCTGCTGATGTACATATTAAAAAAAAGCAGAGCTAGAACTCACAAACACTCTTACATATAAGTACGTGCACTGTACTTTGTGCAATGTCTCCAGTGGTCTTGTGTTCAAGTCACACTTCTGTAATCACTTGATTTACAAATGAACATGCAAGTGAAAGTGAAGTCTTTCAAGAGCCAATGTGGCCCATCAGGCCAGTGTTTATCTCCGGTTTCAGTGGCATGAAACGACTGAGAATATTTCTATCCCCCTGGATGGGATGCCGGTCCATCACAGATTTACTCCCCAGCTAATGTGGGTACCCATTTACATGTATATTCCTGGGTGGAGAGAGGCAAGTGGAGATAAAGTGGCTCGCTCAAGGACACAACATACGGCCAGCAGCTGGATTCAAACCCCTGACCTTCTGATCATGAGTCACAAACCCTAACCACTAGGCCACACTGCCCCACTGATTTATGTACATGTACATGTACCCCTAAGAAAACATTTCATGTCTTAGTCTCCACAAAAGCCCATTTGCCGTCAAGTTAATAAGAGAACGTAACTGAAAGCCAAAATAGTCCCAAGATAGGTGTACAGTATAGATGAAAGGATCGAGATTTGGGGGAAAAAAACCCAAATTATTGAAGGGTGCAGAACTGTGATGTCTTACACTGCAAACGAGCAACTTGTCAAGGGTGCAGGCACACATGATGATTATATTTCAAACAACCTCATCTTATCTCTCAAATTGAAAAAATGATTAAAGCACTCTATGACCAGATGGGGTTAGTCCAATGAAAGTCACTGTTTTGATAAATTCAATGAATTAAACGACCACAGACGTTCGTGTTGTGAACATGTACATGTATTACAGACTGTACAGTACATGTAAGTATCGTTATGTAATGCACATTAAGCAAAATTACGTACAAAATTACGTACATGTACGCAGAACAAATGTTAAAGTGACAATTCAAATGCAGTGTATGGCTATAAAAAGAAAAGCTCCTTTTTCATATTTACTTCCACCATTTGGATTTTTTTCTTTAAGTGTTCCTGTGTAAACATCGAACAGTGAATCTCAATCTCAAATCATTCATGTAAACAAAAACAAAAGCAGTTTACACAGATTAGCTGATTAACACTCACAAAGATGTGATGAAAAATTGTCCAAAAAAAAGGAAAGTCACTCCAAAGTTCTGTGAAACAATCATTTCCATATGTTGCAAAAAGTAAAAAAACACTCAATTGCTTTTTCCCCTTTTGACTTTGAAAAGGAATTAAATTTTTTTTCTTCATCAACTGCTTCAAATCTTAAAAAAGTGTATGATATTAGCCAAAACTAAGATGACTATTTTTAATGAAGGCTGTTGGATGAAAAAGTTCAACACAGTCATCTAAGAAGCCAGAAAGAGTTGTTAAAAGGACAACACGCCAAAAGAGAACAATCCCGAGAAAAGTCAAGGTTTAGCACTGCTGTTTATAACCCACCAAATATGGATTTGGATTTCTTTTGTGATTGTTCTTCATCTGCAAACAGAGCATAAAATCAATGTGCGTTAAATAAAATTGGAAATTATGGTACTACTGCAGACACAATAAGTGTATCACTCAGCGTTGTGACACCATCGAATCTGGACCCTTTTACAAATTACAATGTACATGTACATTTGTACATGTACATCACTACTAACTCTTTAAGAATTATTTGAAAGATCTAGTCCGTTTGGTTTACAGCATTTGGGCCAATCAGGTGCATGCAAACATAGCAGCTTTCTAAAAAATGCATGCATGCACTAATTTTCAGAAAGCCTGTTACCATTGTATGTTACTGATGAAGCAACAATATAGGAATCCTCCTAAAATGAAAATCGTTATTACTGATGCAATCCTGATGATTTGAAAATTACAGGTGTGTGGAAAAAGGCACACCTAGATTTCTCTAGGCGTGTGATTTTTCTAGGCGTGTGATTTTTCTAGGCGTGTGATTTTTCTAGGCGTGTGATTTTTTTAGGCGTGTGATTGTGTGGTGGTCCAAACTGGGACTGAACAATCTGGTATTTTTTTATTTTTTTTTAAAAATAAATTCACCTTGGCATACAGTGAAGCCATTTCAAGAACTCACAGATGTATAATCATGTCGTAAATGTATGCCAAGGAGTGCGGTTCAGAGGGATTCAGGCGTGCGATTATTCGCACTGCTCGCGAAGCTTTTAGGCCTGCGATGGTATGTGGGTGCGATCGCACACCTCAAATCATCACGACTGCTGTAGAAACATGAAGATGTACCATACAATCTGAAGCTATTTGACATCAAAACAAAGGGCTCTTTATAGATTCGGAGCATGGACCTTATTCATGAGGAAGCCATTTTGGTCGTGTTCCCTGAATGTATTTTATAAATTGTAAACTGTTCAATGGGATGGTGCCAGACTATTTATTCATTCTAGCCTCACTTTCATTTTGTTTTTAAATGTGGCTTAAAACATAAGGGCATGGTTAATCACAAATTTTAAATTATTCATCAGAGCAGACTGGTATTAATTTGTAATTAACTTTATGTCATTGCTTTCATTTCTCTTCGCAAGTTCCAAAAATGAAGATTTCACCTCGATTTCAATTTAATATGGCGGACTCGCGAATAAGGCCCATGTAACGCTCAATGGCATAACAGAGAATAATGGAAACTATTAATTGTACATGTACTGTGCGTCACCAGCTTAGATTAGGCATGTCAGGAATTTGAAATAATAATAATAATAATAATAATAATTTTCATTCTGCATTTGAAACCTCATGGACACATAATTAACAATGCTGAACTACCATATAAAAACACATTCGTCGTATACAAATACGACGAATGTGTCTTTGGTGTATTTGCGCTTCGTTGCAATAGCGGTGACGTATACAAGTAATTAGCAAACATTGTGTTTTCCCAAATGCATATTGTGAGCAAGGTGATGATGTCAAATTGTTTCGTCCACCACTTCATATACTTTGGTTCCGAAAAATGTCTGAAGCTTTCAGATCATAGTCAGTTTAGAGGACAATTGAAAAGCTAAATGGTAAATGAGATTTCCTATCAATGTTTGACATGTGAACATGCATTATGATCAAAGACAAACGAAACGATGTCCCAACATGGTTCCAAGCAGCACTAAAATAAACTCAATGTAACTACTAACCACTAGTTGCATTTGTGTCTCCTGTAATACTTAAAAAAAAAAAAAAAAAAACCCAAAGAAACAAAGAATGTCTTACCAGAGAAGCCGTGCGCTACCTTGGCAGAGAAGACACAGCCGACCGTGTCATCAGGACCCATACAGACGGGATCCAGGATGAAACCCTGTTCATATTTCTAAAAAGAAATTGTTTAAGAATAGCACAAAACACTGATTATCATCAATATTTACTACACGGTTAAAAACAATGAAATATCGCCAAAGTAAACTGAAATCATCCACACCCTGAACAAGACACACTGCTACCTTACGTATACAGTCGAATCTCGTTAGTACAAACTCTGTTAATACACAATTCTGGTTATAACAAACAAATAGCCTCAGTCCCGACTGTGCATTTAAATGCACAATGAATGGGACTGATGTTCCTCTTAATACAAAATTCTGATATAACAAACAATTTGGGTAGGTCCGAACGAGTTTGTATTAACGAGACTCGACTGTACACGTAATTTACGTGTAGACGTACATGTAAATACATGTACACATAATGTACATGTACCTTATTAGGTACGACCGTACATGAAAATGAATTGTCCATTATCCATGAAAAAATGTGTATGGATAAACCTACATACGACAGGGGTGTGAGTGACCACTGATAAAAAATAGCTGAAAAAAGCTGAAAAAGGTGTAAAAATGCTGAACTTTGGAAATCTCCTACACTTTTGTACACAACAAATGAGGGAAAATAGCTGAAATCCAAAACAAAAATGCTGAAATCAGCTTTAAAGCTGAGATTTCACACCCCTGATACATGAACAATGCCAAAAGGGTGTCACGGCATCTTTTGCACACATTCAGACCTTCGTTACTACGTATTTTGGATACTCCATTTTTACTGCTGCAACCGAACTGCCAAACCGAACCAAAATTCACCAAACATACAATGTAGCCCTTCTGAACCGAACCAACCAAACCGGAATATTCAGATCGTATGTATGGAAACACAATTTTTTGTGCCCTGTATTTTGTACTTGCACAATCAAATAATCAAATTTTTCCTCTAACTAAAAGACAACAATATTCTAGGCTGAAAGTACAAATTGGAACTCATGACATGTACAAGGTGAAAATCACTGCAGTTGAAATTTGTGACATCCAAAATTTATGCTTGAATTGGCTATTACTCTGAGCCAACCTAACAGCCCTGTTTACTTGTGTAATACGTACACGCACTCAAATGCATTGTGCTGAAACTCATAATCATCAAAAAGTTTGCCTACAAGACGTACTGAATAATCATCATTCCGCCCACTTACCTTTACTCTGCGTACTTCATTAGCTTGAAATTCCGGAGTGCAATTATGATGTATTATACCTATGCCGCCACACAACTATGGTTTCCATGGAGAAAAAAAAAATTGAACAATGTAATTTTACAATTAAACAAAAAAGTCAAAAATTTAACTTACAATTGTAAAATTCAAACACATTACACTTTACATGTACCGGTACTTGATAAAACTAGTCAAATTTGATGGACCAACGTACAATATAAAAGCAATAAATATATTATTTGTGCTGCTGTTGCAGTTAACACATAAACAGCATTTAAAATGTCACAGTGACAAATCATCACTGTTAAAACTTGTATGCAATTGAAAAGTGCTTTTCCTTAAAAATGACAAGTACTTAGAATGTTCCCAAGCTACGGTATAGCAAAGCACAATGTGTATATGAATGACTGATCATGACACAAACTTGTATAGGAGTTGTTTGAAACGGTACATGTGTACACATTCACGGACATTATTAATATGGGTGTTTTCATGTGGAATATCGTACACATTCTTAAATTTCAGAACTTTGTCCAATTTAAAGGAAATATAAAAGGGCATAAAAGGGGCATGGACATGATGGAGTACGAGGAAATAAACATGCTAAAATAACACACTGTGCTGAAAATGTCACAGTCCATGTATGTACATGTACTTACATGTACATGTACAATATTATTTACTATTGGCTATTAGGATCCATCCTCAACTTCCTTCAAAATTCTCCAATTGCCACAGGTAAAAATTTGATTCAGCCTCAATCCTCCAAAATGTTCTGTTATTTATTGCATTTGTTCACTGCCTCAATCACTTCAAAATTTGCCAACAATCATTAACACACAATGAAGAATGGCTGATGATATCCAAAAGCAATGTGGATAGTACCGGTAGTATAATCTCGGCATAATTTATGCATGATTTAAGCATAAACAACAACCTTGACACAGTGCATCCTCCATAATCAACTGGCACAAAAATGGAATACAGCCTCAATCCTACTAAAATCCTCCAAAACTGCCTGGTTGACTTTGGAGGATTCATGAGAATTATACAAGTGGGGTTAAGCATACTGTGGACGAGTCTGTGATGACAGCCATGAGTAAAAAAAAAAATTGAATTAGTAACTAATTCGTACTACATTAATTAACCTCATCTCATAAGTTTTTAGCTAGGCACCTCACTGAATCCACCAATACATCCACTGTGCAGGTAGCCAATGGCACATTCTTTAATTGTTATGAGTACTTTTCAAAGTGGGATAAAACCCAAAGTCAAGAAACAGTAACACTTTGTTGGATTTTGAAGGATCTGGGAGAACTTACCGCCATGGCGATGGCCATGGATGACTCTGTCACTGTATCCATGGGGGAGGACACGAGCGGGGCTTTCAAGATGATCTTTTTGGTTAATGCCGAGGTCAAATCCTACAACAAATCACGCAATAGGTACAGTCATTTGTCTTTAATGATGCAGAATATGAAAAGTAACAATTGAGATGGTTGGCTGCAAATTTTAACCCATGTTGGCTAGACATGGAATACTTTGGAGGTTGCAGAGGAATGTACATGTGTACATGTAAATCCCTTTAAAACCCTAATTCCAAAGGCAGTTTTTGCTGGGATGCAACCTCAATCCTGCAAAATCCTCCAACTGCCTCCATGTAAAAATTGCATACAGCCTCAATCCTGCAAAATCCTCCATTACATGGAGGGGGGGGGGGGGCGTGCTACATCTAAGCAAACTGCCATTCAGTGATTTTCACTAATATAAAAACATAATGAGTACTTGGCTATGTTGCAAGCAAGCACTTTAAATTGTAACTAAATTTTAAAAAAAAATTCAGAAAGAGAAAAAAGAAGACAAGTTTCAGGAGTATTAGTTTGTTTGAGGGGGGGGGGGACGTACAACGCGGCATGCAACGCTTTTATCATGTCCTTTTGAAGAATTGCTTTTTTTATGGTGAATGGACACAATTGTCCTCAGACATGTCAGATGTGTTTAATGAATGATGATAAACGGTCCCTGCCACGTTATACAATACTAAATTTTGCATTGTGTGTTGTACACAATGTACCAGCACATGCATAATTAAATGAAATACATTAAGCTATACATTTGATGTCTATGTATGCTAAATGTATGCAAAATAATCTACCACACCAGGGTCCAGCTTGAAATCTCGGCAGACAAAATATTGGATCTTGAGTACATTGTACACATGTACATGTACATAAATTGTTCATTGCTGGGCGATTTTCAGAAATTTAACCTAAATTATTTGGGGGATACAAAGTTTTGTATGTGATGTAATACAAAGGATTATTGTTCACTAAAGTGTTGCTAGTAAGTAAGAATTTTAAAATAACTTTTAATAGTTGACCAGTCTTTCTGTGCATAAATTAGCATAATTTTAATTACAAAATGTCAGGCACGTGACGGATCAAAATGTCACATACGTGACCACAGAACGATTCCCACTTAGTAAAAATACAGCAGAGGGTGTACATTGATGCATTCTGTAAATCACAAAAGACTAGCCTTACTCAAAAATGAGTATGCGTGTGTGTCCTGAGAACTTTAGAGAAAAGTGTGAATTTCCGATATGGGTTGGATAACATTTTTTTCATCTGATGTCACACATCTGATGTGACAAGTGACCCCTCCTAATATTTTGACACAATTTGTGAAAGTAGAAACTATAGTTTGACATAGGGAGTAAAAAGTACTAACCTGATGAATCAGTGAAAGTAATGTCAGATGTACATAACTTTAAAAAGGGGTAAAGCTTCAAAAATCAGACGAGCCCAATTTTATGTCACACAGTGACCACAGAATGGCCCTGCTATTGATGGGCAAAGTAACATTGTGAAACTAGAGTGTTAGACATGGGCACATTTAGAGTAATCAGTAATTGTGATTACTGTACATGTACATGTATACAATGTAAATTTATGTAAACCATTGAAAGCAGTTATTAGGACTACATGTAGAAAAGGACGTTTTGTATTAAAAGAAATGTCCCTTCCTGCTGTATGAACAGTCACAGACAGTCAAAAACAATCAATCCTCTCCTCTGTCATGCCTTTTACACAGGCTAGTCACGAACAGACAGATCATATCAGTCAACACACAAACATGACAAAAAGCAGGCAATTGGTAGGCACAGCTGGCTTATCAATTGCCTATAGTCAAAGCATGGCTGTATCAAGTTACATAAACAGTCACAGCCAGTCAATCCTGCTTATGGACATGTACCACAGGCTGGGAGCTCTTAACTGTTAAAAACAGTCGCTTGATTGATTTTGATTGAAAGGACAACTTTGCACAAAATGGTGTTTGCATAGGAGGGTTCTGGTTTGCTAAAAACACTATGATTTTGCTTTAAAAAAAGCGGGATTGTGTGTATTCCAATGGAAAATCTGAAAGTATTTGAACCAACCCATCCATAAAAATAAACCATGTTTTTTTAGTATTCCAGTTGACCCAGACAAGGTCGGTGGTCATGGGTTCGAATCCTACCCAACTGAACTTGTGCCTTTTTTCAAGCCCTAAGACAACACCGTAAAATAAAATTAAAAATAGCCAGAATAAATTCTTACATCATACCTTTTTTTTGCCTTGGTCTTGTAAAAAAAAAGTTATTTGCCTTTTTGGTTTAGTGACATGTTTGACCATGTAGTCTTGTGGATTTTACCCAGAAAATTTCAAAAGGCGCGGGGGGGGGGGGGGGGGGGGGGGGGGGGGGGGGTAAATGGTTAGCTTAAGGTTGGATGAATACAGTCCTTCGAACTAGTGTTTTGTTAGCACTTACCACTTCATCTGATGTGAAGTCAATGTACCCTGGCAAGATCAGAAAGTCACTGGAAAAGAGCAAACACAGTCAAATGTCAAAAGGAATTGTCCATGTAGTAGTGGCGGGTCCAGGGGGGTACCGACTACAGAGTCCCCCCCCCCCCCCCCCAGCAGTGACTGGCATTTTCTCAAATATGGCAATTGTTCACTTGAGAATTGGCTCAGGACCATATAAAACGCTGGGCACAACCACAATGTGCTATTCGAATGAGTCGGAAGTTTAACATGTCCATCACAAACTTGAGGGGAGCTCTCGGAATTGAACAGGAAATTTCACTTTTAATCTGGATCATAAGTAAACCGCAGTACCTCAATCTTAATTGTCAATCTCTACTTGTATCAGGTGGATTATAATGGAGATCAATGGTTATGGCTGTATCATATGCGGGGGAAAAACCCCATTCTGGGATACCGGGAACAGAAGAGCAAATTACAGGGTGCCTCGATTATTTATGCTGAGAACATGTTGGACATCCAACAGCCATCTGTTCAATGGGCTGTACTGTGTTTGCAGAATATACTACTGACCCCGACAGCTGTAGGATGACAGGCTACCAGTTTTGTAGCTGTAGAAGCTCCTAATCATTGGTGAGCTCCTAATCATTGGTGAGTAAAATCTCTGATTTCTCCAAAAAATTGTCAGTCTGAGGTCCTAAAAATCATTGCTTACAAATTTTTAAGAGTTGCTTAGGAAGTTATGGATAAACCAGGGAGGCTTTTGGGGAAAATTTCGGAGAGAAGGTTTTAACCTGACGCTAATTATCATCTTTTTCTCAATAAGGCTGTTGGATGTCATACTCAGCATAAATAATCGAGGCGCCCTGTAATTTGACCTCTAGTCAAGATCCCTAGACATGCTAGATGTACCTAGAGGATGTTTCAGGAAACTAAGTACCAAGTACATGAAGTAAGGGTCAGTCATTCCAACAATTGATGTTGAAAAGACATGAATGGGGGGGGGGGGGAACACATTTGATTGGCGCATAATCTAATTGCAAAAATTTGATGATAAGACAAATTAAGAGTAGACATAAATCTGGGACTGACATGATTGACTGACGTGACATGACTGACAAACATTTCCAATTTTGTTAGGAATAGAAAATAAAAATTGTACACAATCGCGGAAGTGGCGTCAGGTTGCAACATTTTTTTCCAAATTAAAAGTGGATTTTGTTCTCTAATTTACTAATACTAGTAGGGAACAGGGCCCTACATAGACCCGTGAACGTGGCGTTGTATACAACGCCACGCGCTTCCCTCGGGTAAATACAAGCGAAAGCATTCTATCTTTTGATCCGCTACATATAACCATGTATAAGTTTGCACATGGGTGAATCACTTACTTGTTGGGCTTCCTGTGAATATACGCGAGTGTTGGAGTTGTCATTGCCAAGAAATTTGATGTAAAATACGGCACAACTTTGTCACAACGAATGTTTCAAAATGATCAGAAATCTGAGCCAGGCATGAAACTCTGGTACCCTGAGTTCCGCATGCGCAAAACGGTTGGAGTATCACCAGTGGGTACCCGACTAACCGTCTTACATGGCAGGCTGACCGTAATACCATATAAAATTCTGCTAAATCCACTTCGAAAGTCTGTCAAATCACCCAGCATGTGCCCAGTATAATTGATGGTCCATTGTGCAAGGGTTTGTTTCAGGGATCTTTCAATAAATGAAGGTTTTTCAAACCAAATGTGCCATATTTCTCTAATCTTTTTCATTTTTCATTCATCTTCATAATTCTGCCGAAAAAAATATTCTGCTGATTTTCTGTACAACTCATTTTTGTATGCAATTATTCTGTCAAATGTAGCCGAAATTCGGCTAAACCGGTCACTCCATCTTAGTAACCGCGGATCACAATAGAGTGTTTTTACTATAGACTGAAGCGTGGCTATGTATATAGCCACGTTCACGGGTCTAGGCCCTACACTACACACGATGGCCCAACAAGGTGTCGACAATAGGCGACTAGCCGATGCCAGGCTGTAAAGCACACAAGGCAAGGCCAAACGAAACAACCAACCCCAATAGGTCTCACTCTCATCTCGATCTCAGCATGGAGGAAGATTCCTTCCTCCATGATCTCAGCAACCAGAATCAAAGTAAAACTTGTCCATTCTTACTTGTACGTCAGTCCATCCCCCGATGTAAACAGCGTTGATCCCGTTAGGCCATCATCGATGGCGGGATGTGGTGTTTTGCCTTCGGAGCTCACGACGTAGTCAGCCATTTTTCTATTTCACGAAAGACAGAATACCGTTTACGTTTTCAAGCTTGGCCCGACATTGTTGTGTGATGACACGTGCCATGCATTTATGCATGCCAGCCGCTACAAGCTACATATGGTAGCCCTTAAGGGACATTTAAGCCGTAAATAATTTATTTTTCGACATCGATTTTTTTTCAAGACATCCAGAAATTTATTGAAATAATCGCTGAAAAAAAATTGTCAAAAAAATCCGGATATCAGTGTTGAAGCAAAGGCTTTCCAACCTCGTCCCCAGTGCTTACTTTATTTCCAACCGCGTAAACCCTGGATAGGAAACTTTCTTCCTGAATCCTGATTGGGTACCGCAATTGGCTAGTAATGGATTTTTATCGCGTACTTGGTGCTATTATTCAAAACGTGCAGTACGTGTTTTCACGATCATTCGTCCACGCCTTCTCGAAAATACTAATTTCCTTTCCAATTTGCTCATATTAATATGAAATATGATACTGCATGTTGTCTGGATAAGATAGTAACAGTTTGATTTCAAAAATCGTGTTTTCGTAACTCACGCCGTGCTCGCGCTGCAACGAATTGACTCTGTTTTTACCCCAGACACCGCATACAAAAACAAACGCTAATGTGTAACGCATATCCAGGCACCAGACTGTTTCTCATTTGCATACGTGTGCAAAAATCTTGCACATGCAAATGATCCAATACCAGGGTGAGAGAGCAGGTAGTGGTGGGCGCGTGCTGCTCGACACCCTGGGGACGAGGTTGAAGGCTTTCATCCTCAAGGCCAAGGCTTTGACCCTTAAGGCCAAGGCTTTGACCCTCAAGCCTTAAGGCTAAGGCCAAGGCTGAACCCTCAAGGCCAAGGCCAAGGCCAAGGCCCTGTTTTATAAAATGACAACTAATATAGAACTAATTATAGTCACATGACACATCATTACGAATCGCTCATTAAGAAGAACAACTTGTCTTTAATTGCAATCAAAATGCTCACATACAATGTTTTATGACTGCATTGTACATGTATCTATTAAAGTATAAGTTCAGGTCTTCATGAATATGGTTTAACTAAAACAAAATAATGATTTACTTCTATATTGAATTCTATATTGAATTCTCCAATTCTCCCGAGTGTAACAAAGGGGGATCCAAGAAACTGATTTGGGGAATTGTTATTTGCTGGGGCAACATGGTCAGAAATATTAGCATTACCTAAAACAGATACATGCAAATCTTTAGCACTTATCAGGGAGACATAATAACAACCAATCAGATTGATCATCAGTTAGAAAAAAAAGCAGCTCACTAAAACTGTGTGTGGATTTACTTATAATTCTCCATCATTCACTTACAAAAAGTAAAATGACTGAACAACACACAAATCTATAGGGTGTTTCCCTCCTCCATGGTAACACGATTAAAATGGTAACAGCAAAGTTTCAAACAGATTTTTCTCGGAAAATGCAAAAATCTATGGGCCTTAATTGAAGAGCCTTGACTCAAAATTGCAAGGCACTGATCCCTCAAGGCCAAGGCCAAGGCCAAGGCTTTTGCCCTCAAGCCTCGAGACCAAGGCCAAGGCCCTAAAGACCAGCCTTAAGGCAGCCTTAAGGCCAAGGCCCAGCATCAAGGCACTACATTACTGCCAGATATGCCAATGACTGAAGACATCGCATTTGTTTTCACGACATCGTAAAGTTTTCCATGACATCGCAACATTTTTCAATGCATCACATTGTTTTTGAGCCAACAAAAATTCACGACTTCAATGCAATGAATGCATGTTGTGAATTTTATGCCGCGAAATATTTTCGAATGCGATGTCGTGAATTCGCTTGTAAACCCCCCCCCCCCCCGGCCCTCCTGGTTGCAGGGCGGGGGTATACGAGCGAATGTCGTGAAAACACTTATTTAGGGCTTTGATGTCCATACAGAACCACCGTAGCTACAGCCAACATGCACAAGCACGCGCATGTACACACAAGATCGAAAAGAGCGGGAATCGAACAATCATGATCGATACTGAGTTGAGGGATATTTTTTAATCTTTCATTTGGAAATGTACAAACCGAATACAAATTCGTACTGGAATCAAGTAGTCGATACCCGAACTGAAAACTAAGATTCGATTTAATGCAAGGAAGTCCGATTTATTAGTGCGAAATTAAAAGAAATCAGCGTTCTATTAAAATTACGTTTCAGCATGCCGCTTCGATTAAAAAAAATGCAGTAGTCCGATTAAAATGCAGTTTTGTTTAACAAGTCTTGTTATCCTTGAAAAAAAAAACCGACTGTGAAAAATTACACTTACAATTACTAACATCTGCATCGAGATAAAGTTGTTTATGAAACATGCACTAAATTTGCTTTAGGTTTAGCCCCCCCCCCCCCCCCCCCATCAACGTCCCCCACTTCGCTTTAGCATCAGATAAGTGCGAATCTCGGTCAACCTTGGTGGTTTTTAGCGATGTGTTCATGCAGGTTTTTTGTGTGTTTATTCCATGACGTTAAGTGTAAAATATAAAGGCCTACCTCTTTCTTTCCGCGTTATTAGTCGTCTGGTTTGTGACGGTGTCCGTTAATGGTAGGCCTAACCCATCACATAGCCCATCATCCCGTGCACCCGTAGATGGGGGCGTGAATGGGCCATTCTCTCCCCCTTCTGCTGCACGGGCCACATCGCCGGTAACGCACACGCTGTTCATACCAAGATGATGCAGTCACTAACCGGCGGAGGATGAGATGCGAGCCCGCAAGACTATGCACACTCTGAGCCAGAGGTTGCAATGCGGGCATTTTATACACGCAATCTCATCATCATCTCATTTATGGACGTGCGTATTCGGATGATGCGCTGTTGTCCGCCTTCTCTTATTTCATAGACATTTTATTTCTGAATGAATGTCTATTAATAGCGGATTCATTTTTAGCGGCAACCCAGTATAAGGGAATGATAGCTGTACTGCATGCTCAGGGCTTCATCTGGATTGCTCAATGGGGGGGGGGGGGGGGGGGGGGGGGGTTCTGGGGGGAGGGGGAGGAGGGGGCGGGCACTCTCCTTGGCGGCCGGGGGGGGGGTGTTTAACGTATCTGGAAAAAAAAATGCGTTTACGCATTTATGTTTTCGCTGTTTCATTTTTCTGTGCAGCATTTCCCCTTTGACTGCTTATATCAGCAGGGCCTCGGCCAGCCATGACAAGACTTGATAACGTGTCTCGAAATTTAGGCCATTTGTCTTGAGAAATTTCAAGATAATTTGCATGGATACAAACATCTACAACCAATTTGAATTCCGCAGACATGTCTGTCATCAGTCGGGGCTTGAAATCAAGGGCGCGCTCTCCTGGCTCCCTACAGATACAACATCTGCAAACATCCAAAAAACGAAATGATCACATTATCACGAAATATCTTACTGGATTGTTAGGGAAAACAATTCAAAGCATCCTGTAAAATCGTGGCTCCTGCTGTGCTGACATTTGCATGAAAACTTGTATTTTACCAACGCTGGTCGGCCGACCAGCGTTGGAGAAAAGTGACTTTTTTTTCAAAAAACTCTCCTAATTTGTTATAATTATTCCACATTTTCTTTGCAATTGATAACACAACTGTGAAGGGTACAGGCCAGCTATGCTGATCCTCTACCTAAGAATTCCCCGACATCTTTGAATTGCTCTGTTTCATCTTACGTGGGGTCAGGGAACCAGACTACAAGAACACGGTTGGTTTTCTTGGATTTTCCAGCATCTCCGAACCCAAAATGTCAGTGAAGCAAGGCAGTATACATTACCTAACATACTAATCCTCCAAATCCATTTGTTTCTGAAAATTGCAGCAAACGTGACCCGATTGGTCCGAAATGATACAGATACAAGGGTGACCTGAAATTATTTTATAAAACTATTACCAATAATAATTATAAGTGAGTTGCAAGTTGTGACACTTACATATTTTTACATACTTGTTTGTATCTTAATTTGTTTGTATCTTAATGCAACCTATGAAATTGAAACAGGTTTAATGTTCTAATAGTTACTACATATAAGATTAAGAATTTACCTGTAGTAATCCCTTAAGATAAAGGAACATACAATGTTCACTGAAGGTACACTGACAAGACATAATGAAACTTTCAGAAAGGTCTTTAAATAGAACTGGCATGCAGTACAATATTATATTACATAACTCCAAGTCAGCTCAAAATTATGTGAAGGATAACATTTCAATACAACCTGTCTGGACAATTTTACATTTCAAGATCTCCACACAGTTTATAGAAAAAAAGCACAAAAGTCTTCTTCCCAATCTCGATGCCAAAATTGATTCATGAGGTCAAACAAGGTTGAACACAATGATACATGGTGGGAAATCAACCGTCTAGCATCATTACCATACACTTTACATGTACAATAAAAATGTGGATTCTGATCATGTCAAAAACTCTGAATGAGGTTACTTACACACAACATTTCAGTGTAAACTCAATACATCTACATAAAAACAAGTCATGAAATCCAAATCACACTATCATTGATCTTATTAAAGATATATTTGTTGCTACATTTTGAATAATTGGATCTAACTTGGCAGGCACGGCAGGAGGTTCATACTCAAGGTTAAGAATAGGTACAAAAACAAGAGGCTGACAATACACTCTTCTTGCTTGGAAAGCAAAAAGGCAAAATATTTTCTCAATCACTAAAAATATTAAGTGCATCCCAAGATGACTACATGGTAGAATAATAAAAAGTCTCATCCACAATGTGAAAACAAAACGTTGGACAACTCAAGCAACTATACACAATTCTTTCCTTAACCCATACCAGGCGTTATGTTTAGCGTAGATAAATACAAGTAAAATATGTAATGGCATTTGGCTTGGCCCCAAATGTGAGGTACTGGGATCCTGTTAACAGTCACCACTATTGCCAATATTTAAAAATAATTGCAATCCCCAAATACAAGGAACACTTCCTTTTTATTTGGCTTTACCATCTGGCAAACCATCTGAGGAGCGCTTGAACGTATTGAAGCCACATGGTGGCTTTCGTTAAAAACACTCACAGTCGGAGAAACAACTCCTGCTGCCACCTCTTTATTACAAAAATCAGCAGCTTCAATTGAAACTGACTCAACAACAAGCGGCTCAGTCTCTTCCAAAATGGTATATACCACCTCAACTATATGAGACCACGTAACAAGGTCATATGAATACAATTTAATAACCATGTCTTTACTAGGCTTTTTCGAAAAATTTCAAAATTGCAGTGAATCTATCACAATGCAGCTTCAATGCTATATACTTACTGCATTTCTATCAATAGGACGTGCATCTTCATCATCTTCACGTAAAATATTTGTGAAGGCACTAACTATGGTCTAAGCTCTCCCATATAGTGTTCATCTTTTTTTTTAGCGTCATTTGAAGACCTACCTTTTTAGGCAATATTATTTTAATTAATTGAATATAATTACCTTTTAAAGGGAATATACAACATTTGCAAACATCGAAAAATAAAACTACCAAGACTTTACGAAATATCTTAATAGGATGTTGGTAAATGACAGTCTAAAGCATCCTGTAAAATTATGGCACCTGGTGTGAAGTCATTTTTAAGAAAATTGTATATTTGTATACATTTCCAACGGTGGTCGGCCGACCACCGTTGGAAAAACCTAACTATTTTTCAACTATTGCTCCAAATTTACCCTTTTTTAAGTCCAAATTTTGTTTGTTATTGGTGACATGTTCATTAACGGGTGCAGGCCAGCTAGACTGGTTTCCTTACCTAATAATTTTCTGGCATCTATAAATTGATCCATTTCATCTTAAGTGGAGTCAGGGAACCAGACTACTGGAACATTTTTGTTTTTCTTGGTTTTGCCAGCATTTTCGAACACAAAATTTCCAATAGTTCAGTGTAACATTATTTGATCTATTATACTAACCCCTCAAATAGTTCATTTATGAAAATTACAGCAAAAGCCAATCATGTACATTCCCTTTAGCTGTTAACGTAGAATTGAATCGAATTTTCACTGGCTGGTCCAGATTTTTTTAAAACTGCCTTAAACATATTTTTATATAATTGTTTTTTTTTTCTACGGAAACCTTCTGTACTGTAATTGTTGTATTTCGGTAATTGTTCTTTTTTTATCTTTGTATTTAGCGCTTTGAGGCCATTATGGCAATTTGGCACCTTATAAGTATCCTTTTATTATTATTATCATTTTTATCTCCAAATTCCATTTACAAAAGCCCTCCCATGGCGACACCTCAATGGTGCTTTCATGGTGGTTTTTGAGACTGACGGTGTTGCCATGGCGTTGTTGCAATAGCTGTTTCTTTAGCTGTCCATGTGTTGCCATGGGAACCCATGGTGTTTAAAGATACGCCATGGTGTTTGAAGAGACCGCCGTGAGAATCCTTATAATTCCCATGTGTTTCCCATGGGGTCCCATGGGGATCCCATGGTATCGCCATGGGACATTTTTGTAATGGATATTTCCATCCAAACGGGCCTGCATTCCCGGCTGCTGGGGAACTGATCCTAAGCTAGAAGGTTGTCCGGGTAAAGCTTTATAAAGGGAACTACGGATCGGGTAACATTCCCGCCACAACATCAACAACAAAATGCAGTTAGCTGAAAAAACAAAGCTACATTATTTAAGTGCAACAAGCAATACAATTGACTCAAAACACTCTATGCAAAGTTTAATTAAAAACGATGAGAAAAAAATCAAGCTCATGAACACTCTAAGTGTTATTTCCTTGATGCAAACACTGATTCCTCTACACTGATGTTCTTTAGGTGAAACAAGAGAGAACTTCAAAATGTTGTTATGAGATCCCAGGAGCACAACCTGTCCAACTCGTCCGTACACATCGGAGAGCGCCCTCTATGGAAAACGCGTGGAACGTTATGGCCATTCATGCCATTAATTATTTCCAGAAGGGGGCGCTCTTCATACATCTAAAGGCTATCTAACGCATATAATAAGTGTGAAAATGTAGTCCTGTAATTTACCCTGATCGCCTTGATTATTAGTGACACCAATTAAGAACAGGTGTTAAAAAACTAAACCATCAACATAAGGTTTTACACGCAGAAATATTCTTAAATTAAGGTACATGTACAATAAACAGAACATTGCTGAATCTAAACAAGGCGAAGGGTCATGATTATCTTGGCTAGGTCAGATAACTTCAGTTTTTTTGTCCAACATGGGCGTAATTTGACTGTTTAGCATAAGGCATGGACAACGGAGCAAAGTACAGGATGTGATAGGTGACTAATACATTGAAATTGCTTGTGTAAACAATTAATTACGAAATCTACATCAGGTGATGTTCCATATGTACGCACCCAAAATCAAAGTTCAAACACAACAATGCATGCATTTTCGGCACGTAAGCAGTGACGGGTACAAGTCATTAACAGTGTGTTGGAGTATTGATACATTCGAGAAAACCGTTCTTACTAGTGACATTTTGTTTGGCTAGGCTTAGAAATAACTATTCAGAGTGAAGTATTACAGAAATGTAACTACAGACAGCGACTTTAACATATTTTACTCAGGTAAATATTCGGGTGATGGTTTGTTTGAAATTTAGATTTGAAAAACACAAACATTTAAATTTTCATTTCACTAATAAGCGCTCTCTGAATATATCATTTTTATATAGCTGAATTAAGAAAGATGGCGGAGGCTGCACCCCAATCCTTGCACGTCAGCCAGCAGTTTCTGGAATGTCCGATCTGTTGCTTTCTTTACAAGGATCCCAAGATGCTGGACTGTCAGCATAGCTTCTGCTTCAAGTGTCTGGAGAAGATGATGAGCACGAATAAGATAGTGTGTCCAGTCTGTAGGACAGAGACGCTAGTTGCAGATGACAGACTGCAGAGTCTTTCTCCGAACTTCTTGCTGATTTATCTTGTTGATGAAATGAACAAACAACAGCAGTTAATTGGGGAGCAACTGAGTACCAAAAAAGACCATCGCATCATTCCAGCACATGAATTGGACACATCGAGGGTTTTAGCAGCAGATCTTACAGACGCTGACGCACCAAAATGTAGAAAACATGGTGATCATGCCATATGTTTTCACTGTGAAACCTGTAATATGCTGATTTGTTCAAAGTGTGCAATATTGGAGCATCGGGGAGATGAGCACAATTGCGTTGACATTGCCGACTCAATGAAATCCTTCCGGACGAGTGTCACCGACATCCTTCAGAACTTTGGGAAAAACAAACAGAAGTTTACATCCACGGAACAATCAATAGAACGGGCGAGAAATAGATTGCAATGTAACGTTGCACAAGCGTGTAGTGACATTTCTTCAAAAGCTGAAGAAGAAATCGCAAAAATCAGAAATAAGGCTGAACGTCTCACCGCCAGAGTGAAAAAACTTGGTCAGGAGAGAGACAGCGAGTACAGAAAAGCGTTCATGCACAACCGTGACCAGATGGAACGCGGAGATCAGATCGTCACGGCCGTAAATGACTTGATGAGACAATGCGATGATTTCGAGCTTTTGGAGCTCGAGCCGAAGGTGATGCACCACTTGGAATTACAGAAGGAGCTCAAGTGTGAACCGGTGAATCATGGACCGTCGTTCATCGGAGTCCAGTGTCAAAGGGTTGTGATTAATCAAGATCTCGGAAAAGTCTGCGACAGCGAGAAATGGCAGTTGAAGGGAGAGTTCGGCAAGAGAGGCACCGGTGACGGGGAGTTCGAGTATGCCGTGGATGTTGCATGCTTCAGCAACGGGGACATTGCTGTAACTGATACAACCCAGAAACGGCTATCGTTGTTCACCTCCACTGGCCAATTCAAATCGTCGGTTCCTCAAGGACCCGACTGTGATCAGCTGAACAATCCTTGGCGCGTTGCCGTGAGCAGTGAGGATCTGCTTTTCGTCACAGACAAAAAGAAAGTGAAGGTTTTCGACGCTGAGCTGGAGTTTGTTTGCGAGTTTACAGAGGGGCTATCAGAGATATCAGAGATAGCGCTTACTGGTATTGCTGTGGACAACCAACGAGTAGCAGTGGCTGATGATGGGAGAAAGATCATCAGTGTCCATAACTTGAACGGATCGTTGATTGCAATGATATCAAACGAGATGGTTAAAAATTACGTGGCAATTAGCAACAAAGAGCACCTGATCTTCACAAACTACCAGGAGAAGAGGATGCTGTGCGTTGACTTTGAGGGCAGTGAGGTGTTCAACGTAATGACTGAACTGAACGGGGAACCAGCTAGTCCGACTGGTGTCCTGTGCGATGATGATGACAGCATCTATGTCGCTGTTCATGAGTCCAAGGCATTTGGAGCGGATGAAGTGCAGAAATACGACTCCGGTGGTGCATTCACATCAACAGTTGCTCATGGGTTGCACATGCCGTTCCAAATGGCATTTACCCCCGCAGGTGACGTCGTTATCGCAGACAAACATTCCGTCAAGATCTTTGAGCGGATGTGATCCGCTGCACTACAGACAATCATGTACTGGTAGACTATCAGAAAAAAAACAAACCCCAAACATAACTTGGGAATAGAGTATGCACATAACGTGAACTGTTTTCAGTTTAATACTTGTCAATAAGATGTACTTTATCGCCATGTTATTTGGAGAGAGCCACATATTTATGTCTACTTTCAATACAAGGGCGTAAATCCATGGGCGTTATGTAGGAGGATTACATGTATTGCTTTTTGACCAGTGTATGCGCCATTTGTAACACTCCACAGATTTCTCTGGTGAGCAATTTAAAAAAAGTTGCAAATGAGAATTTATTGGGACATGTTTTTCACATAAGGCAGATGTTTCAAATGCAAATGTCAACAGCTGGATTTGTATGGGTTAATATCACAAATTGCGGCGATTAAGAAATGCATCCAGTATCCTATAATGCCACTTTTCGCTTATCTAAATAATGGTCAGCCATTACAAATTATGTCAAAAACGGAGTTGTTGCTATAACTCATCATACAAGGCAAGACCGATTAATGAACAACAATCCAGCCTTGTTTGATGTAGACGCAAGACATTGGTTTTAGTAGGCCTTCCGCTGGAAGGTTCTGTGTCAAATAAAAGGTGAGAAAATCCCCCATACTATATTGTCAACGGTGTAGTCACACTTTAAATTTCATTTTTGGGAGAAATTCTCTGCTATTTGTGCATGGATAGTGGGCTGGATAGTGAAACAACATTCTACAACGTGTTTGATGTCAACAGATTGAATATAACCGGAGAAAAAGAGACATACACATCTGTTTTGGCCATGCTTATTTATCTCTGTGGTATTTTGCCGTTCACTGCATGCCTGTCAGTCAGGGCCTCGGACCTTGATGACATGCTTCGTTAAGTCTCGGATTTTCGGCCAATAATTATTGTCAACCAAAATACTCCAATATTTTTTGCATGGATAGTGAGGTAGATAGTGTTGAACATTCTGCGACATATTTGATGTCAGCAAATTAAATAAAACTGGAGAAAATGAGACATACACATCTATTTTTGGCAACAAATTTTGGCAGGATGTTGCCATTGACTGCCTGTCAGTTGGGGACGCGGCCCCTGATGACATGACTCGTTCAGTCTCGGAATTTTGGCCACTTGTCATGAAAAAAGTATCTAGATATTTTTGCATGGATTGTGAGCTGCATAGTTTGGCAACAATTTACACAAAAGGTTGAAGTCCGTAGATTGAATATAGCTTGGAAAAAATATAGACATACGCATCTATGTTTTGGCCGTGTTTACTTTTATGTGAGCATTTTGCCATTGACTGCCTGTTAGTCAGGGCCTCGGACCCTGATAATATAACCCCATATTTTGTGTACTTTCGGCCACTTGCCATGAGAAATTCCCCGATTTTTTGCAAAGATAGTGAGCGGGACAGCGTGGCAACATAGAATTTTACAACAAGTTTAAAGTCCACACGTAAAAATATCACTGAAGAAAATTAGACATACGCAACTATGTTTTGGCCGTGTTTATTTTTGTGTGCATGATTTTGCCACTGACTGCCTGTCGTCGGAGCATCGGCCCCTCGTGATATGACTCGTTAAGTCTCGGATTTTTGGCCACTTCTCATGAAAAAAAGTTCCCAATATTTGTGCATGGATAGTGAGCTGGATAGTGTGGCAACATTCTACACAAGTTTGAAGTCCGCGGACTGAATATAACTGGAGAAACTTAGACATAAGCATGTATGTTTTGTCTGTGTTTACTTTTATGTACAGCATACGTTTAGAGTCTGCAGACCAAATACAATTGGAGAAAAGTAGAGATACGCATCCGTGTTTACGCCGTGTTTCTTTTCTGTACTGCATGGATGGAGTGCTGGGTAGGTTGGCTACATTCTACAAGTTTGAAGTCCGCAGTCTAAACATAACTCGAGAAAATTAGACACAGGGAGTGGGTGTGATTGTTAATGGTGCAAATCGAGGACACGTATGTGAAACATCCTTGTGTAATTGATGTGGGCAAGAATCAACTCGAAGACGTCCTCGATTAGAAAACGTGTACAAAAGAGTATGAACAAAAGAGGAACAATAGGAAATCATGGATCAACACCATTAGCATGTGTTCGCACACACCAACATACGTCGTGTTTAAGATAACTCTCGAGGACAAGCCATTGCCTTTTCCTTTCCGATAGACTTAGCACATGAAAGAACAATTGAAGACCGTTAACGATCAAGGTCAACGAATAATCTTTTGTTCTCCCTTTGTCTGTTCGTCCTCGGGGTGTATGTAGTGTACGCCAACAGACACACATTCAAATCGTGGACCCAACCTCGTCCCCAGGGTGTCGAGCAGTACGCGCCCACCACTAGCTGCTCTCTCACCCTGGTATTGGATCATTTGCATGTGCAAGATTTTTGAACACGTATGCAAATGAGGAGTAGTCTGGTGCCGGCATGTGCGTTTCATTAGCGTTTGTTTTTGTATGCGGTGTCTGGGGTTAAAACAGCTTCAATTCGTCACGCCATGAGTTATGAAAGCACGATTTTTTTTAAAGTTAAAATGTTACAACCTGGCCCGCCAATATGCAGTATCACGTTTCATATTAATATGAGCAAAGTGGAAAGGAAAGGAGTATTTTTGAGAAGGCGTGGACTTAATAATTACAATGATCGTGAAAACACGTACTGCACATTGGAAATTAACATCACCAACTACACGATATAAATCCATTACTAGCAAATTGCGGTATCGAATCAGGATGCAGGAAGAAAGTTTCCTATCCAGGGCTTACTATTGGAAACAGGGTTGGAAATAAAGTAAGCACTGGGGACGAGGTTGTCGTGGACCTTGATGTGTGTGTACAAAGCATTTGGGAGGTCTTCCTAAAATGTTAGTATGGAGTACCGAAGTGAATACGTCACGCGCACAAAATGTGTGTAAAGACATTAGCGCGTGATTCAGTCCGTGAACCAACACCCACGCGTACTCCATTCGTTTGCCCTACACTTTCTGGTTCTAAATGACGTCACACTTCGGTACTCCATAGGTGTCCACGTTTTAAGGTGTTTACACACACCTATGTTCGTTACGAGTTGATCACCCGCAAAGGTGGCGAAGTCACAGCCGGCAGCGAGGTGAAGCCTCGTATCTAATTATTATAGAAACTGCCAAATTCATTTTGGCTTGGACTAGCGCCCCTTGGATATAGACACAAATTGGGTAACCGCCAACATAGGGTTGGATAGCTCAGTTGGTAGAGCACCGAAACGGCAATCTTGAGGTCGCAGGTTCAAGCCTTGCTCGGTCAATTTCTTTGTTGAACTTTAAAATAGAAGTTAAGGGGCCAAATAAGCGACTATGTCTAATCTTAAATATTCGGGTTTTTTTTCTAACACCGCCTCAAGCGTCAAATAATGTCCCGTACCGTGATATGATGATATAAACCCCAACGATCAGAGCCGCGTTTTGGCGCTGTGACCAAAAACATGTTTCAGGTTCGGGACCGTTTTGGCGCTTCGGTTACACTGATGAAATGACGTCATTGTTACCATCAAAGATGAACCAAGACTTGCTATCGGTTCACTTACGTTTCAAGATGGCGGAAACAATATGAGCAGACGACATTACTTTGTTACCACCAAAGTGATTTAAAAAGTGGGTTTGTACAGTCGGTTAAAGGTGATGTACATGTATAACAATTATTACTCTGCCAAGGGAAAATACTGGAAAAGCAACTGCCCGGCTTGTGCTTGTAAATCGTGAAAAAGTTACCAAAAAATTCGTTACAAAGTGACGTCACGAACACATTTTTAGTCACGGTTGTGACGCCAGGGGCCGCCAAAACACGGCCCTGTATAACATCAATGTGAGTTTCAAATCAAACACATGTGCCTGGTGTCCAACAAACGACGGGCGCCCTAATTGCCTTTTAGGTTTTTTATTCAGGGCAGTTGACATGGATCACCCAGTCCACAGGTAAGTTCCAGCTCCCAAAGCCGATAAATCTGGGGGGATCAGCCTGAGGGTTTGAGTCGGTCGTGTCCATGAAGGCCGCTTGTTGGTGCTTGCCAAGGGTGAAGGTGCCGTGGTCGTACCGCAGCCAGAAGCGTCGCATCTCTTGCTCGCTGACCACGCCCACCGTTGCAACAGATGATACTAATCCGCAAACCGCGCATCGGCGCAGGAATGTGTTTCTGTTTCCATTTGAACCAATCACTGTCAGAACCAACAGGGGGAAAAAAGACGAAATTTACGACGACGACAAACAACAACGGAAACGACATGTACAGCAACCAAAAACGCAGCAAAAACCACCGCAATATACAACTCAACGCGTAAACAACAACGACACAAGGACGACAACAACAGCAACAATCAACAGCAGTACTTACAACAGTGACAACGATAAACAAGTGACATTGACAACGTGGACAACTTGGACAACATTGACAACGTGGACAACATTGACAACATTGACAACAACAACTGCAACAGCAGCAACAGCAACAACAGCAACTACAACAGCATGCAACAACAACAACAGCAACAATTAACAGCTACAACAGCTACAGCAGCAACAGCAGCAACAGCAGCAACAGCAACAACAGCAGCAACAACAGCAGCAACAGCAGCTACAGTAGCTACAGCAGCAACAGCTTCAACAGCAACAGCAGTAACAGCAACAACAACAGCAACAACAGCAGCAACAACAGCAGCAACAGCAACAACAGCAACAACAACAGCAACAGCAAGAACAGTAAGAACAACAAGAACGGCAAGAACAGCAATGGCAACAACAGCAACGACAGCAACGACAACAACAGCAGAAACAACAGCAACGACAGCAACAACAGCATTATGCCCAGGGTTCGCCATTAACCTTTTTTTCTTCACTAGTAAACTAGACTACTAAATCAGACTCTCAACTAACCCGCGGGCCATATCACTAGTCCGCATTAAAATGTTTAGGTTTGTTTGCACCAGACTGTCATAAACAACAATGTGCATACAATGTATAACTTTATCTTCAGGCAATCATGTCAGTGCTTAAAAGAAACATAATTATCTAATAAAATTGAATTCAAACAGATACAAAATGATTAAAGATATTAATAAATTTAGTACATTATTGCTTAATAAATTATTCATTAATAGATAATTTATTTAACTTATTAATATCTTTAATCGTTATTTATCACTTAATTTTTTAAAAATTATTTCCCCTTTTTCGGTCCCATTTTCATTTGCGACACAAAAGCTATCAAAACGAGACCCTAAAAAGATAACAATTAGGAGGGGGGGGGGATATAACAGTCGGCGCGTCCACTCGTTATCGGCGCAAGTACCAGAGTATCTGTGGGGGACCCCGTGCACCCACCCCCTCGAACTAACCAACACCATTTTTGGGTGCCTTTTAGGGTCCTTCAACACATTTTGGATGTTAAAAGTAAAGAAAATCCGATGCTCTGGAGATATCCCAGATAGCAGCCAATATTGCCGCGGTACAAACTGGGAAAAAGACATGTATCAGCCAAATAATATAATTAAAGCATAAATAAATGGTTGGTTATTTGTTTGAGACCCTCACAAACTCATTTCTGGTATCTCTTTTTTGCTATCGTGCTTCCATTTCAAGATTGGTACCAATTGGCGGCCAATATGGCCGCCATATTGGTAAAAAAATGGAAAAGGCATATATTAGCCTAATAATATGATACAAGCATCAATCAAATTGTTGGCTATGTGTTTTTCACCCTCGCAAATTCAGTTTTGTTATCTTTTTTGCTATCATGCTTCAAATTCAAAATGGCGGCCAATATGCCCTTTTCCCCATTTTTTAAAACCATTTTGGCGGCCGTATTTGCCACCATATTGGCCGCCATTTTGAATTTGA